TGGGCACCATGATGAGAGCTCACCTCAAAACCAGATACTTATTTACCCTTGTAAGAAAAGACATAACGGCCAAAATAGGTCACTTCCAAGTCCTATAAAGAACCCCTCTTGCTTTAATTGTCACAAAGGAGCAGCTCAGACTCAGGTGTGCAGGTCAGTTAGATGGTTCAATGAGTAAAGGTGCTGACACCCTGAGTTCAATGCCCTGGACTCACATGTAGTAAAATGAGTGGTTTGAAGTGTGTCTTGGTTTCTTCTCTGCCTGGGGTACAGCACCGCAAAACTACCACCAAACAGGCAAACAACAGCCCTTCCCCTCTGCCCCAAAGAACTACCCACTGGACAAAATGAAGTGTTCCTACATTCTAGACTCACAAAACAAAGCCAATTAAGAGTTATCAGTTAGTTCTTAATTTTCCCCTTTTAATAATTCCTAAAAGCCTGAGGTCAGAAGAACCAGTGAAGCATCATCTTCTGGACATGACAGAACTCCTGTACCCACAAGGTCACAATAGCCCTGGTTGCCTGCACAAGTTAAGCCAGTCAACATTCCAGAACTGAGTAGGGACAGGCTCCCATCATGAGATAAGGAGCTATCAGCAGTTGATGGCTGCTGTTTTCTTTGATGGTGTAGTTCCTGGTAGGTCGAAGAACCACCAGCCATCTGTCTAGCCATGTATCCACCTATGCGGCCCACAGTTCATCTCTTTACCTCCCTAGTGCTGGGATTCCCAGTGCACACCACCATTTGGCTTGTGTGGGTGCTGGGGTTTGAACTCGAGCCCTCCAGTTTGCCCTGTAATCACCACTGGCAAAGCCTTCTCCCAGCCACATTGATTTTACCTGACTCAATAATGAATAAAATAGCAAGAATTTCAACTTCTCAAAGGAGAAGCGGAAGTGATGCAGATTTATAGGTCTGCATCTGTCTGTCTTCAGGGCACAGCCCCAGTGAAACCAGATTCCAGGAAGGAATCAGGGGTCCTGGAATGCAGGAGAACAAGGAGAGGCAGTGCACAGTAGTTCCGAGCCTCTGAAGGAGTCAACCCTGAAGATACCTGGCTCTTAGCCTACTGACACTGATGTCAGCTCCTGGACCAATTGTCATCTGAAGTTGTTAACCCAGGCTTGGTGGTGCAGGCCTGTGACTCTAGTCTTGGCAAGACTGAGGCAGGAAGACAACAGTTCTAGGCCAGCCTGGGCAACATAGCCAGTCCTGTTTCAAAAAACTAAAACATGGGCTTGTGGTGATATTTTGTTTGTGATCTAACAAATAAAACTTGCCCGAAGATCAGAGTGCAGAACTAGCCACACTAGCTAGCCATAGACACTGGGCAGTGGTGGTACACACCTTTAATCCCAGAACTCAGGAGGCAGAGGCAAGTGTATCTTTGTGAGTTCAAGGCCACCCTGGGCTATATGAGATTGATCCAATCTAAAAAAGAAACAGAGCCAGATGGGGGTAGCTCACACCTTTAACTCTAGTACTAGGGAGGTGGAGACAGGATAAGGCTGGGGGAAGAGAAGAATATAAGACAGGAGACAGGAGCTCATGGCATCCAGTCTGAGGATTCCTAGAGACAGAATTGCTCCTTTGGTCTGAGGATTTGGTCTCTCTAACTAGCCAGGAAGTGATGGATGGTGCACACCTTTAATCCCAGCAATCGGGAGGCAGAGGCAGGCGGTTCTCTGTGAGTTTGAGGCCAGCCTGGTCTACAGAGTTGAGTTCCAGGACAGGTTCCAAAGCTACAGAGAAACCTCCAAAAACAAACAAACAAGAAAGGAAAACCCTTGCTGAAGAGTGATTAAGAACATTAGCTAGTCTTCTAGAGGTCCTGAGTTCAATTCCCAGCAACCACATGATGGCTCACAATCATCTGTATCAAGTCCTGGTGCCTTCTTCTGGCCTGCAAGGGATACATGCAGACAGAACACTGTATACATAATGAATAAATCTTTAAAAAAAATCTTTCTTGTGGCTGACTCCTTTACTTCTCTGACTTTTCATCATTCACCCCAATATCGGACCTGGGTGTTTTGTTTGTTTGTTTTATTAAGACCTAGTATAACTCATGCTACATGGTCCAGGAATGGTAGCACACATCTTTAATTCCTTTTTGAGAAACAGAGGCAAGTGAATCTCTGAGTTTGAAGCCAGTCTGATCCACATAGCAAGTTCCAGGACACTAGGGTGTGTAGAAAGACCCTGTCTTAAAACACACACACACACACACACACAGAAATGCTGGGTTTGTTGTGACTTGTTCTTGTGACAACAGAGGAAGTCAGAGCCCCTCCACCACCATCCCGGCCAAAGGAAGGCTGGGAAGGATATATCAGTCCCTATACCAGAAAACCAATCCTGGGAGGAAATAGTGGCTTTTGAAGCCAAATGTCATGTAAATCTATAAACCAAGCACTCAGGAGGCCAAGGCAAGACTGCCTAGAATCCAAGTCCAGCCTGAACTACACAGCAAGACCCTGTCCCATAACAAACAAAATACAATTCTGGCATGGTGTCTAACCTTGTAACTCCAAATTGAAGGCTAACCAGGGCTACCTAAATTCTGGGCCAGATGGGTTTACACAGAATGTCTCAAAAACAAAACGAAAAATGTGTGGAACATTATTATTATTATTATTTTGGTTTTTTCAAGACAGGGTTTCTCTGTGGCTTTGGAGGCTGGCTGTCCTGGAACTAGCTCTTGTAGACCAGGATGGTCTCGAACTCACAGAGATCCGCCGCCTGCCTCTGCCTCCCGAGTGCTGGGACTAAAGGTGTGCGCCACCGACGCCTGGCTGTGGAACATTATTTTAAGATGTTTATTTATGCTGTGGAATATTTAATGATGCAAAGACATATTGCATTCTTTTTAATCATTTTTATTTTATGTGCATTGATGTTCTGCCTGCATGTATGTCTTCATGAGAGTGTCTGATCCCTTGTAACTGGTTATAGACAGTTGTTGAGCTGCCATGTGGGTACTGGGAATTGAACCCAGGTCCTCTGGAAGAGCAGCCAGTGCTCTTAACCGCTGAGCCATCTCTCCAGCCCTGGTAGTGAACACTTATACATACAGCACTCAGGAGGCAGAGGCAGGAAGATCTGAGTTTGAGCCCAGCCTGGTCTAAAGAGTGAGTTCTAGGAGAGCCAGAGGGTATAGAGATTCTCAAAAAAAAAAAAAAAAAAAAAAAAAAAAAAAAAAAAAAAAAAGGTGTGTGTGTGTGGTACATCCAAACCCATAATTACCTTGAAAGTATATGCTGGGACACAGGCTAAGAAATCTGTGGGTAGTTTTATTCCAGTGTTGCCTGGTTGTTTTTGTTTACTCTATGTTTGGATGTGATGCATGTGTGTGCTGGTACCCTCAGAGGCCAGAAGAGGGTGTCAGATCCCTCAAGCTGGAGTTACAGATGGTTGTAAGTTTTTTGACATGGGTGCTGGGAACCAAATTTGGGTCCTGTTCACTGCTGACCAGCTCTCCAGCCCCTGGAAGGGATATTTTCTGTCCTTGTGTGGTCTTTTGCTGTTCGCTGTGGCATACACCAGACCTCCTGGCCTCTAAGATTTCAGGGAGCCTTCTGTCTCATCAAGAGGCAGTAGTATTACAGATGTGTACTACCCTATCTGGCTAGGTCCGTACTTTTGCCCACTGACCATCTCCTGTCCTTATTTATTTTTTTAGATAGTTTCTATTGTGGCTCAAGGCTGGTTCAGTAATGGGAGGGGTCATGAGTGTGGCACCACCCAAATTACACCAGGGATGTTTGCAGTCCCCATTCTTGACAAGGGTGACACAGAGCAAGGCAGCACGAAGCAGTGTCCTTGGAAAGGAAAATGCTACAATCATTTGTTTTATTTCTCAAATATTTCTCAATTATCACCATCAATAAAACCAAGGAGCCCAGGAACCTTTTTAATGTGTTAATGTTTTGCCTGTATGCATCTCTGTGTACTATTTTATGTATCTGTGCTGGAGGTGGTCAGAAGCAGGCACCAGAACCTCTGGAACTAGAGTTGGATGGTTGTGAACTATGGTTGTGAACTATGATGTGGGTGCTGGATATTGAACCCAGGTCCTCTGGAAGAGAAGTAAGTGCTCAGTTGCTGAGGTACCTTTCCAGATGGTGTACCTGGGAGCTCTGGGATTACACATAAACACACCACCATGTTCTGCTTTTTATGTGGAGTCTGGGAACCTAAACTCAGGTCCTTGTGCTTGCAAGGCAAGCACTTTATCTACTATGCCATCTCCCTGGCCCCTACTGTCACCTCCAGCAAATAAGGTTTTGTAAGCCTGTGGCACAGATCAGGAGGTAGGCTGTAAACAGAAGGCAGTGCACACAAGTGCAGCAGTGCTGGGGAAGGGCAGGAAGATCCTAATCTATACCCCTGTGGACATGTCCCAGGAAGGTAGTTGGTCTTGAAGGGACACAACTTTCAGAAGGAAAAATCAGGTGGGCAATGGTCCCAGAACTGCCTGAGGTGAATCTGGTGGGGAATGACTCTGGGGCTGCCTGGTGTGGCCACTGTGAGGCTAGGCTAGCCCCTCATTATTGCCATTCTTTCTTCCCAGGTATCCACTTCTAGTCCTAAGCACAGTTGGGGATGGGGACAGCTCTAAAGCCTTGGGCCTGTCCTTTCCCTTTGTCTGTCCCCTGGGCCAAAGCTATCATAGTCAAGTCTCCTCAGCCAGAAGGGACAAATCCCTGCTGACAACACAGAGGGGCAGGAGGACAGGGCCACATTAGGAAGGCAGCAGAGCTGAGGAGCAGTGGGGAACAGCCCATAAAGGTATGTATGTCTTGGCTACCAAATGGGGCCTAGATGGGGGCCCCTCCAGCCTTAGATGACTTAAGGGACCCCTCTCCTGCCTCACTGTCTGAAGCCCCCACCTCTGTCCTGGGGTTCCCCAGACCATTCCAGCCCTGTGCCATCTCCCACTCTCCAACTTCAGAAGAGTGCAAGGCAGTCGACGCTTGCTCACCGAATTCTTAACTGGCAGTGGAAAATGCTGGGGACTTTATTGAAAAAAAGCAATAAATAACACTGTGATAAAAACAGTTCAGAAGATGACTGCACAGACTTTGTTATGTAATCGGAAGGGTCACAAACGATTAACAGAAAAACAGAACAACCAATCGTCCAGATGAATTAAAAGTAGAGAGCAAATATAAAAGCCTCTCCCACATCAGCTACACAATAAATACGCGCATGTCTGCCTGAGCCCTGTGGCTTAACTCATCAGAGTCAGTCAAGAGGCTGTCAAGACAGCTATGAGTGTACAGCTAGTTCCACCCTTAAGACATTTACAAATAAATGTAAAAAGACAGTTTATACAAGAAAAATAAGGCCTTTATTGGAGTTGCAGGCTGCCCGCTCAGCTGAGGTGTCTTGCTTTCACCTGCTCTGCCCCAGTCAGGAAATGAGCACCTGCCCCATGATTGGTCCTTGAAGAGTGTGGAGGGAGGCAGCTGCAAGGCTCTATCAGCTGCTCAGTCTGATGGTGACCAGCCACCCTGCTCCTGTAGAGTGCTGCTCCCAGCTCAAGGCCCTGCTCAGCCTCTGAAGATAATCGACCCATGTCCAGAGCAGGGCCAGGGATGTGGCCAGGGGTAAAGGCTGTTCACAGAATCCTGACCATCTGTCCCAAGCCTAATGGAAGCTGAGATTTCATGTAGAAAAAGTACAGTTAAGGTCAGTCATTAAAACACGACAGAAAGACGTCTGGAAATAAAGTCTGCTTGTTTCAGAGTGATTGTTGCAGAGCTGGGTAGAAGAGAACGCACATGGCTTGTATCATGATGACTTTATAAACGTAGCAAAATCCTTTCTTCTGTCGGGTTCATCATTAAAAAATTAAACAGGAATAATTACAGTAAATGCATAATTTACAAAAGCCCTATATTTGCTCAGATTTACACACAAGCATTACAGTACATTCATTTAAAAGACTAAAATTAGGTATAAGAACATGAATTGACTCAAAAGGATATTTATAGCTTGGATATACATGAAAGAGTAAGTAACTATATAAATGAGGAAGTGTAAGTTTACATAAATATAAGAAACAGTCAATTCTAAAATATTTTCTCTATGGTATTTGTGATTTTTTCCCCCACAAGTTTAAAAACTCTGTAATAAAATATCTTGGGTCCATATAGCGAGTGTTGCCAGATGGGGCTCCACCGAGCTCTGCACCGTCTCTGCCGTGGCGTCGTCATCTGTAGAAGTAGTGTGGGTAAACTGGAAGCAAGCACAGATACTTCCTCTCAGCAAACACTGGCCACACAGGGCCACCCCACAGCCACCAGTTACCTATGCCCAGTCCCCAAGTATAAGTCTCAGGATACTAATTAAAAACAGAAGCCAACAACAACAAAAGCAATCCCAGATCCCAGTAGGATAGCACTCCTGGAAAAAGGGGGCTCAAGAGCAAAGAGACATGAGGGAGTCCTGGGCCTAGGGGGCACCCACCCTTAAGAGTGGCTCTGGAGCACTGGACACAGCTGAGCTCGGCCATGCAGCTGTATGGCTCAACAGCAGCTTTCTAGACTGAGCCATGGTATCACATCATCAGCCACCTGATGACTAAACAGCACAATAGATGCCACACATGGTATGATACATTTGAGCAGCTGAAAGAGTCACACCAGTGTAGAGGACTGTTTTCACCCTTGCCCCCTCCATGACTTCAGTTGACACCTAGGGTGAGAGAGCATAAGAAAGTCTGCAGAGCTTGAGAGGTAGCTCAACAGTTAAGACACTGGCTGCTCCTGCAGAAGAACTGAGTTCTGTTCCCAGCACCCACATCAGGCTGCTCATAACTGTCTCTAACTCCAGCTCTAAGGGATCTGATGTCCTCTTTTGGACTCTTCGGCACCTGTACTCACACATGCATACACAGAATGGGAGGGCGGAAAGGAGGGAGGGAGGAAGAAAGGGAGGAAGATGTTTCAGTTTCTGTGGTCACTGTCTACCATAGCACCTGTGTGGTGCCAAGTGTCAGGAGCTGTATTCTTTCAGTTCCCAAACAACTGAGGTTGGCTCTCATGGTCCAAAGTTGCCAAAGCCAGGTGGACATGAAGTGCCCCACCTGCGCTGTACTGGGGACATCTGGGAACAGCAGCTCTCTACTCACCAGCAGGAGGCTCTAGCAGGAGTAAGTCCTGACTGTGGCAGAGTCCAGCCTCTGTGCTCCGGACACACTACCTGTTTCCACAGCCATGGAAGGAAGCGTGCAAACACATCATGCAGTTAGTGTTAAACATCACACAAGGGGACAAAAAAGATATTACACACCTGACAAGACTTCCCAAGTGATAGGAGGATAGCCTGCTGTGGGAAGGGGCCAGTCAAGATCACCAAGGTGGTGGTCAGGAGGCTACTTTTCAGGGCCCAGGAACTGGCAGCTAACTCAGAAACAGCAATGGGCAAGCAACACAAACACAACATCAGTCATCCATGTACATGAGTGACAACTATGAAAGAAACCACCATGTTTCTCTTGAGACTACACCACGAGTCTTTTGCCAGAATATTGCACCTCCAAGAAGCCAGAGGTATATGTACCCCAGCCCCAAGAAACTCCTAAGGCAGACGGCTCCATGAAAGAGCAGGATGACCAAGACAGTGGCTTCTCTTAGGAAACCAATATTCAGACTCAGTTTCCATTAGAAACCATGGAAACTGCTGAACTGATGATTATTATTTAACAAATTGCCAGCACGGCTTAAGATGGGCCTGTGTACAGAGAGGAGGCTAAGTTCTCATAGCCACATCCTCAGAGCCACTGGGACAGCTGACTTAAGGGGAAATGCTTGCCATGTACACTGCATCTATCTCACCTTCCCTCCTCAAAAGAAGACCTCAGCACAGCTGGTGGCCATGTGAGAGGAGAGAAAGCCACGTCCACACCCTAGACTCCTACAGCTCTTTCCAGGCTGCCTTTTCTCTAAGCTCCCATTCTTAAAGCATTAGTGCTTGACTAAGAAGTATGGTTCAGAACAAGGAAAGCCTGTATGCGCCCATTTAGCCAGAGCCAGGCTGGCATACTGGCTCTCATGAAGTTGCTGACTGGACCTTCCCCTGTAAGCACAATACTGAACCATGGCCAAACCAGCCAGAGCTTTCTACCTTATGTGCTTTCTAGGAGTCCAGCCCAGCAAAGCTTTGCTCATGTCCCTGTCTCTGGTTTGTGCAGTGAGAGCAAGAATCCCAGCAGACCAGCAGCTAACCCACCACCTGCACCAGCAAGGAGGTGCACCCTGACTGACAGGGCTCAGGTTTGGCTGCTTCAAGTATACAATTATTGATTATCAAAACTTCCTCAGGAATGCATGGCACAGCCTGAGGACTTGCTCAAGAACAAGCCTGCTCAAGGTCATGTGTCCTCTAGCAGCAAGGTCCTAGGCAAACCTCATCTGACTTTTGTTACCTCCCAGAAGCTTTGGGTCCACTGTGTCAGCTGTGTCTGCCATTTCTGACTGGAACATTTAATAGACCCAACTAGTTCCAGACCATTTCCCCTGTCCTATAACAGGGGCATGTGTGGCTAACAAATAGCAGAAAAAGATGGAAACTGCACTATTTACAATTTACTTGGGCCAGGTGTTGTGGCTTATGTCTATAATTCCTCCAGCATTAGAGAAGCTGAGGCAGGAGGTTTACTGTGAATCTGAAGATGCCCTAGGTTACTACAGTAAGACCCTGTCTCAGGAGCAGGCTCTGTGGTCAGGGCTTTGGCAAAGTGACATACAGCAAGTGCACCTGTGCTGCCTGTCAGGTCTGATCTCACAGTATGGGTTCTACCCCGTCCCCCAAACAGACAGGATTTTCTTAGTTTCTGTTACTTTGGTTAATCTTGAGGAAACAACGTTAGGGGGTTAACTGAACAACAAATACACCTGAGCATGCAGCCTCACTCCAACGCCCCAGGTGCAGCCAGTGTGCACACTTCCCACACGTGGTGGTTGTAGGACCCACCACATACCATCCATTTGAACCTTCTTTGGCTGCATAGAGGGAGATGACATAGAGGAGGTGACCCGGAAGTTGGCAGGCAATGTCTCTGCAGAGCCAGAGGCCAGGCCTCGGATGTCCTTTGGTCTGAACTTCTTTCTCCATGAAGGTGCTCTCCTGAAGCTTTTATCATCATCCTGGCAAACCAAGGAGACAAGTGCCAACTGACAGTAAAAGTGGGCACCCAGCCAGGTCTGTGCTCTTCAGATGTTGCTGGACTCTGGCTTGTATGTAGCTAACCTTCCTGTTGACAGCACAACTGCCTGCCTAGTCCAGCTCTGCAGCAGAAAAGGACTGTGGAGACACTCCTCTGGCCACAGATGGAGAACTGAGGCCAGTCCTGGGCTGTGGCCCTTTTCATGCCTCACTGGTCATTCAAAAACCACCTCACACATGTCCTAGAATAGAAGTGGAGGAGACAAACTTTGTCCCCTGGAGAAGGGGAAAGGGTCACCATCCCCTGAGCAAATTAAGAATACGGGAAGAGGGGGGAGGAAGCTACAAAAGTGAGAAGGGAAGAAAAAGAAGGATGCAGAGGTCATGAGGAAGCAGAAATTTTGAGTCAGGTGTAGATTAGAAGAAAGGACATATGACAGGTAGGATTTTAGTGGGGGGAGTGGTAGAGGAGGAAGGGAGGGAGAAGGGAACTGGGATTGTCATGTAATTCAATCTTGTTTGTAATTCAAATTAAAAACAAACAAACAAACAAACAGCCACCTCACAAATGGGATGTCCAGACTAGGACCCAGGCAACAAAACCTCTTCAGAGACAGCTTCTGCTCTCTTTATCAAACTAGAGTTCTGTTCAAGGCCCAACAACAATAATCCTTACATGTGATGTCGTGGGGTTTGAGAGGGAAGAAATAACAGTTTTGAACAACATAATTCTCAGACACATCTTTCCCCAAAACACAGAGGCTCTGGGTTGGGACAGAATGACCAGTGATTCCCAGAATACAAGACACAGACACTGCTTCTGGGCTTCATCCAGTTTTATGACTTGACAACCATTTATGAGACATCAAAATCAACAGGAAGCCAGGCATATTGGGTACACTTGCAACCCCAGTTCTTCGAAGACACAATGCTGCAAGTTCAAGGTCACCTTTAGCTATATAGTAAGACAAGAGCCTTTCTCAAAACAAAAAAACAAAAAAAACCTTTAAGTTTTATTAAAACCATTCTTGCTAGGTGGTGGTGAGCACACCTTTAATTCCAGCACTCAGGGGGCAGAGGGGCAGAGGTGGGTGGATCTCGATGAGTTTGAGGACAGCAAAAGCTACACAGAAAAACCCTATCTTGAAAAATCAAAAAAAAAAAAAAAAAAAAAAAAAAACAAAAAAAAAGTAACAACAAAACTCCATTCTTTTATTCTTTTCTGGGCTGAACATGCCCAATGACAGACAGTGTCAATGTGCTTAGCTTTCTCAACACCAGCATGTTTGTGCGAACGCACGCACGCACGCACGCACGCACGCACGCACGCACGCACGCACACACACATTTTTAATGTATGTCCAAGCTCCTTAAGTAGCTTTTCCACATGGTTCTAATTATGACAGAACAGGGCCCATTCAGCACACATGTGGGCCAGGCTGGCTAGGTGGTGGACTTCCAGCCCTAACCAAAGGGAGAACAAGACCATCAGGCAGAGCACTCACCTCATCAAACCTCCGATCAGTCCCTGTGACCAAAAGGTTGTTGAACTCTCTTTCCAAGACAGCTCGAGCCTGCAACAGTGAAAGAGCCAACAAAGCCTCCATCAATTACTAGGAAGACTGGCATATTCCACTGCTGGGGACATCCTAATCTAATCTGTGGGTGGGCTTGAGGGGAAAGCCATAGTAAGTGCTATAGTTGGTGTTCTGTAGAGGAATGGAAATTCCACATTTTCAAATATGCCCATGAAGCAAAGAGAATTACATAAAACAATTACCATAGAAGCAAAATTAATAAAACTTTAAGTGGCACACTTAAAAATAAAAACATGAGCCAGGTGGTGGTGGCACACACCTTTGATCCCGGCACTTGGGAAGCAGAGGTAGGTGGATCTCTGTGAGTTCCAGGACAGCCAAGGTTGTTACACAGAGAAACCGTCTCAAAAACAAAACAAAACAAAACAAAAAAAAAGCAAAACAAACAAACAAAAACCCCAACAACTGCCAAAAGCATTAAAAAGTAAGTACGTGTGTGAGCCTCACTCTTACAAATACACACTGGAATGGAAGTTCTCCTTATTTTATTCTAAGTCCCTCAGGCTTGAAACAGAGAACATGAAGATGACAGTATAAGGCTAAGTCTCTGTTGACTCTGGACATTCCCTCACTAACAAGCTATAAAAAAAAAGCCTTCACTATCCATCCAATGTTAAGCTTTCCCTGAACTCAAGGTGACACGTGAGCTTGTGCAACCACAACTTCTGTAACACTGTGGCAGGGCACAGGCCTGACAGCTCTGGGGTCACCTGTGTATTCTGTGTTGGAATCTGTAACAACAGTGCCAGGGCACTGAAATCGAAAGTCTCGTCCAAGGCTAGAAGTGCTCCGTGAACACCGCTCTCTATTAGATTGTTGGCATATTCTTTAAGGCCAATCGACAGGATCCAGCGAATCACCCGGTCATTGCTCCAAACAAGCACATCTGCAAGAAAATAAAGTATATGATAGCCTCAGAAATGCTCTGCTCTGCCCTGCAGCACTGGAGAAAGGCTCCTGCTACAAATCCTGATCTTGAGCTCCTGAAACAGATCCAAGCCCCAGGGGTCAGCATCACAGATAGCACAGTCCTCACATAGGAATCCTATCCACACCACTTGAAGAACCCACCGGAACTGCTCCAGGGAACCCAGGAGAAAGACAGAACTCACTGGACTTCCAGAAACAGAATAGAATGACAGTCTATAAACCCAACGATCAAAGCAGATTCTTCCCATCAAAGACAGAGCCACCTCCATAGAGATGCTGGGCATCCCCACCTCCCTCCTCCATAAGGAACATACAATGACCTAGAAAACCAGGGTAGTGCTGAGGATACTCCCACCAGTCATCCAGCCTTAGTCTTCCAGGGTGTATTATGTGTACCCACATATCTTGCATTCAAACTTTTGTTCAGGTTAAACATTTTTTAATTTACTTCATGATGTGTCTTAGGGTTAGTATTGCTGTGATGAAACACCATGACCATAGCAACTTAGGGAGGAAAGGGTTTATTTGGCTTATTCTTCCACATCACTATTCATCATTGAAGGAAGTCAGGACAGGAACTCAAGCAGGGTAGGAACCCTGAGGCAGGAGCTAATGCTGAGGCCATGGAGCAATGCTGCTTACTGGCTTGCTCCCCCATGGCTTGCTGAGTCTGCTTTGTCATAGAACCCAGTACTACCACAATGGGTTGGCCCCCCCACATCAATCCTAATTAAGAAAATGCCCTTCAGGCTTACCTACAGCTGGATCTTATGAAACATTTTCGCAATTGAGGCTCCCTCTTCTCCAATGACTCTAGACTGTGTCAAGTTGAAGTAAAATGCTAGCCAGCACAAGACAAATATTTTCAATGTCTTTCCCATTTTATTTTCTTAAGACAGGGTCTCACAAACACGTATCACCAAGCCCTGTACTCATCACAGATGAACTGAAAGACATTCTCCAGAAACAGGCTCTGGAGGCCACACCTTGTGACAGGTACAGTACTCCATTAGCATTAATAGGTACCTAAAAATAGTCAGCCTAAAGATATGCCCAATCACTTCCAAAGACAGTTCCTGTCAAGTGTAGACAGACAGAGGGCCACTGAAAACAATGCAGTAGACTCAACACTCTATCCCTAGGTGCTGCTCTGGAAAAGAGCCCATTCTCAGATTCACAGTAACTCCACTGAGCAAACTACCCTCCAAATGTGCCATCTCAGGCAGTTTGTTTCTGCTTTTCTCTCTCTCTCTTTTTTATTTTAAACATGCCAGAGCTGAAGCATGGGCCCTCTGAGATGTGACACATTAGAGAAAGGCTCTACACTGAGCTATCCCTCACCACACAAACTCACTCACATGTGCACTCACACATGCTCATGAACACTGGGCTCACTCACACACATCTTTATCTCTATTTTTTCTGTGTATTTTGCTTTTCTTATTAAAACCAGTGCTTCTGGGGCTGTGGGAAGCAGCAAAGAGACTAGGGACAAAGACTTGAATAGCATCTAGTGTCCACTCAGCTCAGTACCATTGCTAAGATCACCAATGACCTCCTGACTTCTTTGTTTTGTTTTTCGAGACAGGGTTTCTCTGTAGCTTTGGAGCGGCACTTGCTCTGCAGACCAGGCTGGCCTCGAACTCACAGAGATCAGCGTGCCTCTGCCTCCTGAGAACTGTTAAAGGCATGCACAGCCACCACTCTAACATTCTCCTCAAGCCAGTAACTGTCTCCATCATTGGAGCTGCAGCAGGAAAGAAGGCCGTAGAGGAGAGCAGCCACCCTACAGCCTACAGGTGCAGGGCTGCTTCTGTATGCACCCCTCCCCCAGCCACACTGCTGCCCTCCAAGGGCTGACTGGGGCCTCTTGCCTTTCATCTGGGATCAAGACCCTCGAATACCCCACAGCCCTGCATTTCATACTTTTCCCAGTGAGTATGCAGCAGACACAGCTCCGTTCTGCATTTCTAAGTGTCAACATAGGACACCATATGACCAAAGGACAACTCCAATGTCACAGGAAAAACACCAGCATTGCAGACTGTGTACAGGCAAGCTCTCTATCATTCCTTTTCCTCCTTTCTCATGTTAGGCCAGTGCCTTCCCTAAAGCCTTCCAAGATGCTGCCTGGCAGATGCTCCACCCACTGAGGCTGGAACACTGGCTGCAGAAACCAGCACCACTGCTCAGACAGGGAGCTCACCTCTTGTCTCATTCTGACTTTCTTCTCTTTTTCTTTCCAGTTCTTTTCGGTCATAATTCAACCTTCTCAGGCACATAATTCCACACTGGAAACTGTTTCTGTTTACAGAGGCACAAAAACAGGTTATATGGAGCTGACAACAGGGCAAGCCTCAGGGCAGAGAGAAGGTGTAGCAAGTGCCCACTCACCTGTGAAAGCTGTCGACCATCTTCAGTTGCCCTCGTAGGTCTTTCTTGGTAAGGTGGTCCAGCATCCGGGCATCTACAAGGCACTCCATGAAGTAGCTTCGGTACTGCGGCAGGCCAAGGCTGGGCAGCCACTCGTTGCCAATCCACTCGTGGTTCATGTCCCCATATGCTAGCGTCTGCTTTTATAAGTGGGTGATGTTAGTTATGGACTTTGAATCTATGAAGACTGAACTAATGACAATACTGAGACTGCATACAAAAGGAGTCATTAAAAATCTAGGACTGGGGCTGGAGAGATGGCTCAGAGGTTAAGAGCACTGGCTGCTCTTCCAGAGGTCCTGAGTTCAATTCCCAGCAACCACATGATGGCTCACAACCATCTACAATGAGATCTGGTGCCCTCTTCTGGTGTGCATATATACATAGAAGCAGAATGGTGTATATATAGTAAATAAAATCTTTAAAAAAAAAAAAAACTAGGACTCACTGCTGAGTTAACCTATCTAATGAGCCACAAGAAAACCACAGTCAACTGCAGAGCCTCTTCTGAAATAGCTGTTAATGCAGCAACTAAGAATGAACACGACTCATGAACAAGTTTGAAGGATGGGTTCAACTTGATTCATTAAAATTCCCTCTGGCTGTTCTGATCTTGGTTTTTAACACTTTTTCCTAAATGAAATCTTTATTTAAAAAAAAAATCAGTAAAAGTTGATTAGTAAAATTTTTTTAAGAGACAATCAGGATTAAAAGAAGAAAAAGACAAATACACAATTACAAATAAGACTTAAACACTCCTTCCAAACAAAAACAGAAAGAGGATATGATCTAAAAACTATAGGAAAAGCAGCTTTTCCTTTAAAAGACTCAGCACAGTGAAGACCAAAGCAGCAGTATCAATCAACTTGACCTACTTATGTTTTCCATAATTCTCCACCTGACACTGGGATAGTTCCCTTCTTTTCCTTGAGAGGGTACTACCCTGCCAAAGATAAGATGCAGAGCCTCACACTCCATCCCACCAGCCCATGTGATCCTAGGCAGCCACCATCCTGAAGCATGGCACATGAAGCAACTTTCTAGGCTGAAGTGATCCTCCTGCTCAGCCTCCTAAGTAGTGGGTGACAGGTGCACAGCCCCCAAACCTCCAAAATCTCCCTGAGAACGTGCTTGGCTTGGTGTGGTGCCAAGACTGAACCAGGCCTCATATACACTAAGCACAGCTCCACTATAGAGCAACATCCCAGCTCAATATTTAACTTAGAAGTTAAATCACACAGTATTTTCTACCTCAGAAGAAAATGAATTAGAATCTATAATTCCAGTACTTATGAGGCAGGAGGACTGTTACAAGTTGGAGGTCAGCCTGGGATACAGGGCAAGACCCAGTTGTAAGGATAAACAGAAAGAAGGGAGAGAAAGAGGGGAGCCAGCAATTAGCCAAGTATGGGGGCATACTCCCATAGCTCCACCGACTCAACAGGCCAATATGGGATGAAGTTTGTTTTCAGTTTAAAGTTAGAGGATAGCCTGGGCAACACAGGAAGATTTTGTCTCAAAGGGATAACTAATAATGGCTAAAACATCTAAATATCCTCCAAACATTTGTAAATTAACATACTTCAAAACAACAGTGCAAGATTCTGTATTGCCAGCAAACCATCAACAACATACTAAGTAAGACCTGACATGGAAAGGCTTATTGTCATAGGAACATAGGCTGGAACAACATTTGGGGAAAAGAATGGGGAAATTTTGCCTACCAAGAAATTAGAAAAGCCTAATACTAAAAGGACACAGAAACACCATGTGAAAGGCTTCCTGCTTCACTGTGGAGCCTTCAACGCTCTGGGAATGGAGCACAGCACAGAGCACCCAAGCAGGGGAAGAACTGAATGCTTGTCCACAAGAAATCCAGATACATCCACACAACTTCCAGCACTGGCCCCCAGCACAATGCAAGAAGATACACAAAGCCTATGAGTAGGAAGGAAGACAGTTGGTCCTTTCATTCACAGAGGATAGGACCAACTGAGACAGAGAAGTTGCCACAACAGTCCCAGGGCTAAGACACAGGTTGTGCTAGGCAGCAAGAATAGGGACCCATTCCTACAGACTAATGACCATCTGGAAACCCAGGTTGAAAACATTTCTGGACTGGAGGGATGGCTCAGTTGTTAAGAGCACTGGCTGAGTTCAATTCCCAGCAACCACCCGGTGGCTCACAACCATCTATAATGGGATCTGATATCCTCTTCTGGCATAAAGGTCTGTATGCAGATAGAACACTTATATACATAATAAGTAAATCTTTAAAAAAATAATTTCTAATGCCATTAAACCCCTAAAAATGCAAAGCTGGCTAAACAGGTCTATGTTATGGAAATGAACATACTATAGGCACAGAGAGCAGGTGACTTAAGCTGGGGAATGAAGACAGCTCCCTCCACCTGTTCACCTGCTCCAGCCAAAAGATGAATCAGACCCAACAAGGACACTGAAGCTCTACTAGAAGAACCATTCTGCTACTGTCCTTAAGTACTCTGGGCCATCACGAGATCTCATTGTCTATCAGCACAGGGACCCTTAGCTATTTTCTGGTCTTCTGGCTCTGCCTGCTTTGACAGGCAGAATGAAGAACCTATAAAGAAAGGGCCCACTGAGGCAGCATCATCCCATCTGAGTGCTTCCCTATCACTCTATAGGAGTGATGCACGCCTATCATTCCTTTGTGGTAGCAGCTGCAGGGAGGGCTCAGTCCAGGGAGCCCTACTCTTCTCTTCTCCCAGGATGCTGATACAACCTAGAAAGGGAGCACACAGAGCCAGATGGTCTCGGAGATAGGAGAGCGCTGCACAGTAGTAACACAACCTAGACTAGAGCTCAGTGAAACTGGGGCTGCAAAGAATTAGGGCCATGGTCACACTACTTGCTGGTGGTTCTACAGTGTCCATGGGGCTGGCTGTCTTGTGGAGAGGCAGGTTGAGACCTCTGTCTTGAAAGCTCAGTTGGGAAGAGGATTGTGAGGGAGTGATGTGAGCCCCTTTATCACACTCTACTGCAAAGCGTGCTGCTCACAGGCTGCTGTTTACACAAAGAACTGGAGTATGTGAGACATACTGCAATCACCAGAAATTGCCCTGCTGACTACACTGACTGTCCATCCTGTAAGGTGCTGCTAGCCAGGCTTAATAATGAATGAGTTGATTGCTGAGTTGAGGCAGAGCCCACAGCAAGACCAGACCAGAGCTCATGTTCTTTTTCCTGCATCACTGGATATAGTGGGAGGCCACTGCCTTGTGGCCAGGAAAACTAAGAACAGCAATGAATGCTACTAGTAGGATCCAAGGAAGGAACAACGGTCATTCACCTAAGCTGCCCAAATGTGGAGATAGCAAAGCACTCAGGAAGAGCTCCTAGGGTGCTAAAGAACTGGTGGACTGAGAACATGAACACATGGAGAAGGCTCAGTGGGTAAAGGCACTTACCACCAAGCCTGAAAACAGAGTTCCATCCTTGGAACACACACTAGGGAAGGAGAAAAGTGACTTCCCCAAGTTGTTCTCTGACTTCACTATGGCATATGCACACAGACACATAGACACATAGACAAATACAAATAAATAAATGTAATAAAAACTTTAGCAAGAAAATGAAAACACCCATGAGACAAGAAGCCTCACTTCTGAGAATTCCCCTAATAAGATCTTTAAATGCACTCAGCATTAGGGCATCACTCAATAAAATACCAACACAGAGACACAGGAAAAGGAATCATGTCTTTCAGGTTTGCAAATTATTTCACAATTTTTCAAAGTCACTCCAGCAGGGAGTTATGTGCACAATCTTCTAAGGTGTGGACCCCAGTGTGAGGGACACCACATTAACAGAATTTGTGCTCATGAAGAGCCACTGCCAGGGCTCCTGTGAGAATGTTCAAAGTTGTCCATGAGGCGCTAGCAAGCCTGCTCTGTGATTCTCTAAAGCTTTCAAATCACTAGCCACACAGAGCAGACTGGGATGCTACAACATCCAGAAAGACAAGTCACAGGCTTCCCCACCCCAGATACTTTCTGTTGCCACACAATAAGTAAAGGTAGGTAGAGAAAGATGCCAACCTGAGCCCAGCTTCCCTCCTCGTCTTCCTGATGTTACATGGTTAGGAAAAGAACAAACTGTTAGTGTTTGTAAGCTATGGTAAGGCAAGCAAGCAAACAGAGACAACTGGATGTGTGAGCATGCTGGGGTCATAGCAGCATGCAGTCTGTGCAGAACCAGCAGCCTGGGGTTTTCATGCAAGGAACACACCATTTCCATGCTAGCATATCAGTAAGAGGCAAAAGCTGGGTTCCACTGTCATAGTGGAGTACTACACTGAGCTCTTTCCCCAGGGTGAATAAGTTCTATCTAAATGAGCATGTCTGCAACCTTAAGATCCTGGGGGGGGGGGGAAGCGTTACCTAAAACAAAACAAACTCTAGTTTGCACACTTAGCTTGATAACCCAAGGAGACACATCTCTGAAACAACTGAACATTAGCACTTTCATTCCCAACAGAAAGGCCAAAGCTCAAGCTGGTCTGACACAGCATGTGCCCTGCAAACGAAGGCTGCAGTGACTAACCGTTTGTGGTGTGACTGTGAGCGTTTCCATCTCTTCATGTGTCAACCAGACATTTCCTGTGGTCTAAGGTACCCAGTGCACCAGCCACATCCCGGGCCAGGAAAGCATGACAAAGAGGAGAGGGCACACACATAAACTTCAGGCACAGGAGCCTGAGGCAAAGGCCACTCTTCACAGAAAATGACAAAAAGCCACAGCAGCCCAGCCCTCCTGCCAACAGCTACAACTTGCCAGCAACTGGTCACAGAGCTAGGCTGCTATGCCCACCCCTGTGGTATGTTAATAAAGAAAGCCCACTTTAGATTTGTAGAAATATTTGCTCTCTCAGACCTCCATGCTCACTATCTTAAAACAGTCTCATTGGACTGGGCATGGGCTGAGTGACAGAGCTGCCTAGCAGGTGCAAGGCCCTGGGTTTGATTCCTGGCACTTCAAAAAAAAGCCCCTCCCACAAGCAGCTTCATTTCAACAGCAGCAGCAGGCCTCTCTTCCACTGAAGTACACCAGGTGACCAAGCCTGACAGGACAAAATTAACTGTACTGTGTCCCCACTGCACCCTTGTCAGAGCCACATAAGAGACCAAAATCCATATGCTTGTTGATATAAGCTCAAGGGCGAAATCTACGCCTATGCCTGATAGTGTAGAGGGAACACTTCCAAGCTAGCTGAACTGGTGGGAGCTCCCTGTCAGAGCACAGCTGAGGAAGACTTTGGAGGGGCTACAATGAACATGTCTTTCTGACATGAAACTCCCAGGGAACAGAAGGGACTGTGGCAACAAAAGCCATTCTCTGAGGAAAGAGCTCTGAGCCATAGCTGAAGACTGAAGCCCGGTGTTCATTCCACAGAGAATAGAAAAACCCCAACACTTTAAAGTAACTTTGAGCCCCAGAGTCAGCCTTAGGCTCTTGTAGAAAGTGTCTCAAAGGTACTGCAGGAGTTTCTCCAGAATCACCCAAGCTAAGTCCAAAGTATGGCCATGCCTGTCTTTCCCCTTTGGTTTTTGCAGGGGAAAAAAAGTGACATTGTCCACTGAGAAGAAAGTGAATTCTCTAGTGACCAGGATGCTGGGGGGCATTCCTCACTAGTGCCATCATTTGCATTCAGCAGGTTCCTCTAAGGTGCTCTGCAGAGCTAGAACTCCACAGAAAATGTAAGCAGCTCACTCCTCACACACTGCCTCCAAGTCCATGCCAGGGCAGAGTTCACAGGGAGGAGGAGGGGGGCTGGATTTTAATTCAGCTGCACAAGTCTGTCTGTTTTCCTTTGTTCTACCTTCCAACACACCTGTTCCACAACAAAAGCAGGGAGGGAGCTGCTCTTCCTGTCCACTACATAGAGGTAGTGCTGCAAATTAAGATGATACAATCCCACCTCTGTGACAGACTAGCCATAGGTCCAGGCCAAAAGCCACCCCTGAGGAGTCGGAGACCCTTGATCCCTACAGTTGTACTGTGAAGAAGTCACAGGCATTGGACTGTGTGACCTGCTCAGCAAGTAGCACATCTGTGTGTGAATGCAAACACCAACTCTGTGTGGTCAGGGGTCATCAGACATGAAAGTCAAAAGGCAGGAAGTGCTACTATAGAGTGTGAACTTCCTAAGCCCCTGCCCAGAAGCCTCAGGTAAATGCAAGTGACAATTGTAAGAATCAATTTCCACCTTTAAATCTCTTCTTTTTGAGGCTTTTCTAGACAAGTTTTCATTTTTAACCTGAGTGGGTTCTCAATATGTTGCCCCTGTTGGACTCAAAGCTCTGATCTTCAGACTCCCATGTAGCTGAGATCACAGTGGGCCTCACACTCAGCTTCAGACACGCTTTCATGAAAGCCTTTGTTCAGTGCTGAGGATGAGCCCAGGACCTTTCACATGCTAGGCAAGTATTCCACACAGCTTTGCTCTAGCCCAAAAGTCTTGCTGATCTTGGGGCATCCAATCCACACGAGCAATAGTTTTAAGGCATCTGAAGCCATGTTTTAAGTGAGAACTGCTGGGGGCTGCAAAGACCCAAGAAATCAGGCTGACTGGTCCATAGCCTTGCAGGAGGCAGCTCTGCCTCCCAGAGCATAAGAGCATGTGAACTTACCGTCCTGGATGTGGGTGGGGCAGAAGGGCTGGTCAGTGACATGATCTCCTGGATGGCCAGCCGCAGCTTCAGCCTGTGCAGGGGGTTGCTGATGCCAATCTCCCGCTGGATCTCGGTATCTGACAGGGCCGACATGATGGCACCACTCTTGACGTTTGCTCGGCAAGCAGCCACATACCAGGCAGGCATCCCGACCCAGAGCTAGAGACATGGGAACAAGAAGGTCAGAACATCAGACAAGTGTGAGAAGTCTTAGTGACTTCCCATAATGCAGCATGTGAAGAGGACGTACCTCCAGCCACACCACCACGGTGGGCCCGTCCCACTGTGCAAATGGCAAACCTTGCCTGCGGGCCTCCTCCAACAGCTCATGCCTGTGAGGGAGATATAGTCAAAATAACCAGTTAAGTAGGCATCTCTGACAGGTTTTCAAAGCACAATAGGGGCTCACCACTTCCCTTGAGCTTTAAGCCGCTGGCACCATCTACAGCACACTAGCTTGTGTTTACTATAGAGTGCCTGCATGAGTTGCTGGCTGAGTCCTAATCCCCACAGAATGTCACCTCTTCTGAAAGACTGTCCACCAGCTTGAGGAGCACCTAGTAGTCCTCATAACTAAGTTCATATGGTATGAGGGTAAAACCTAGGTGCCACACCCTTTTACAATGTCCAGAAAGAGAGCACATGCAGGTTGGCAGATGGACACCTAGTGCTGAGTCATTAAACATTTAAGGATGGTGCAAAAAAATCTAATGGAGTAGCACACAACTACTAATCCCAGCACTAGGGAGGCAGAGACAGTTGGATCTCTGTGAATTCAAGGCCATAATGAGTTCTAGGACATCCTAAGTAACATAGTGAGTCCCTATCTCAAAAAGACAACAAAACAACAACAAGAGAGAAAGAGAGAGAGAGAGAGAGAGAGAGAGAGAGAGAGAGAGTGGTTCAAAGCACTGGGTAAACTGTACTGCAGTATACACCAGGCATGTGTTCTATCCCCACCCACACATTTGCAAGGTTCTTTCTTGCAGATTACATCTCTCCATGTTTGCACATGTTGCAGCCAAAAATTCTGGAATCTCTGTTTGTGACATCCAGCTCTGTAATACCAAAACCAAACCCCCAAATCCTGGCTCTATAATAACTGCCCAGAGCAGGGCGTTCCCTCCAGTCACAATGTCACAGACAACTTTAAGCTTGACTTCTTCAGTCATCCTTGGTTGCTATGGTCAATGGCTGCCTTCCATCACTAGCTAGCAGCAGATCCCCAGGGCAGCAGCACTATTTGGTGTCTTAGGCAGAGTCAAAATAGCACTTCCTTTCTGAGGAACGGGGCTACTCATAAACTGGAAAAGAGACAGACAAGTGTGCTCATGTGGAGGTGAGGTAGTGAAGGTCTGCAGGATGGACACCAGCCCTTGCTAGAGGGAGGGACCTGATGTCTTGGGGCACCAACTTGTGTCTGAGTGACTTTCTGCTTCCTCCAGACAAACTCTCTTCAAATACAGTTGGTATCATTTATCAAAACAGGCAAAGAAGCCACAGGAAGCAGCCTAGTCACTCCATGAGACCAAATAAAGATGGAAACTTGGAGGACACAGGGCAGTGCCCATCCTGGGTATGTAGCCTAGCCATCAAGGTTTCTAAGCTAAGGTCACACTGAGTGGACTAAGTCCTCTTCAACTGGGCAGTCTGCTAGGATGACTGTTATCCAGTAGTAATAGATCATGCAGAGAACAAACAGCTAAGAAAGCACACTGTAGCCCTCAGTGGCTACCTGGAGTTTGCTGCACCCTCCTAATACTGGAAACAGCCTTTGTTGGCTCTTAGAGCCCAGGCCACTTACAGCAGAAGGAACAGTATAGAGGTAGGACATGAATTAGGAACCAGTCAGAGCACCCACAGCTAAACACTGAGCTGAACTCTGGAATCCAGTTGCAGAGAGGGAGGAGTGATGAGCAAAGGGGTCAAGACCAGGCTGGAGAAACCCACAGAAACAGCTGACCTGAGCAAGGGGTTGCTCATGGACCCCAGACTGATAGTGGGGAAATCAGCATAGGATTGTTCCAGACCCCTTGAACTTGGGTTTTAGTTTGGAGGTCTGGTTAATCTATGGGGCCTCCAGTAGTGGATCAGTATTTATGACTAGTAAAGGAATGGACTTTGGGAGCCCAATTCACATAGAGGGACACTCTCTCACTCTAGACAAATGGGGGAGGGACTAGGCTCTGAAGATTCCCCCAATGGAAGGCCTCACCTTCCCTGGGAGGCAGAAAGGAGATGGGTTAGGGGGTTGGTGGGGGCAGGAAAGGAGGGGAGGGAGAGGGAACGGGGATTGACATGTAAAAGAAGCTTGTTTCTAATTTAAATTAAAAAGGGGGGGTGGAAGGAACCAGTAGGAAGACATAGAGGACAATCAGTATAGGAAGCAGGACCTGGAAAGGTAGTTAGCACAGGCTTCCCTCTGCCTCCTTGAGCCTTCCCCATTGGGCAGTTTGTAACCTTATAGCCCAAACACAGCTATGACAAGGCTGGCACATTTAAGTCTCAGTGTTCTCAAGGGGAGCACATCTCTCACTAATGTGTCATGGGATGAAATATCCACTGACTACAGACACCCAAGGCTAGTTGAACTCAACCTTGAGATGTCTTATGACAGCAATACTACCTCCCTCCTTTCCACTTCACCTGGGGAAATGGGGTTGGCCCCTTGATCTTCACAATACCCTACCAATTCAGTCAGTTTTCCATGTGGGACTTCTGCAGACTCACCCAATTACCAATAGTCACTTTCTAACTAGAGAGTCACTTAGCCTTTCTGCTCCATACAACTGTCAAAATAAATGTAAAAGGGTCGTGACCATCACTGCTAATTATTTCAATACTTGGGAGGCTGAGGCAGGACTGCCACGAGGTAGAAGCCAGCCTGAGCTACACAACAAGACCCAGTCACACAAAGCAGAGAAGGCATTTAATCCTAACCAACTTTCTTACTAGTCAATTTTCCAGGTAATAAAAACTCTTTTAGCCACTGGCCCCAAAGCTTAAAACAGTGATCAAAGTAACAAAAATCTTTAAAACCATCCTTTTGGGTGTATGTGTATGTATAGTGTATATACTCACTTTGTAGACCACGCAGGCCTCAAACTCCAGGATTTGTCTGCTCTGCCTCCCAAGTTCTGGGATTAAAGGCATGCACCATCACTGCTCGGCTTCCATCTTACTTTTTTGAGACAATTCTCTTCCTAAACCTGAACCTCACTGATTGGCTAGACTGACTGAGCTCCAGAGACTCACCTGTCTCTGAGCCCCCAGCACTGAGTTACAAGTACAGACTACCACACCCAGATTTTACATGAGTGCTAGAGATCCAAACTCAAGTCTTCATGCTTACATGGCAGACACTTTACTGACTGCACCATCTCCACAGCTCAAGAAAACATCTTCCAAAAGGCCCATGTTCTGTACCTCAGGCCTAAGACCAAGAGTGTCTGATTGTTCGGACCACAGGTGCTGCTTTCAGTCTCCCTCAATTCCATAATCCCTGGAAATGGCACCAGGGCAGTAGAGCATCTGCTATGTCTTCTCTTCCTGGGCTGTGAGATGTATCATCTCAGTGCAAATCTGTAATCCTCCTCTCTGCCTCCCTAACACTGGGATTGTGGGCATGAGCCTTCATGTCCAGCTCCTGAAGCTAATGTGTAAATGGCTGCCCTAATACAAACTCATGCAGCAGAAGTGTTCCTTTACAATCAGAACTGGAGGACTGAAGAGTATGGTTCTGCTGCACAGTGGTGGCCACACATTCACAGAACCCTGATCATCATCCTCAGCACCTCAAAGGCAAAGCAAGGAAACGATAACAGGAAAGTAGTAGTTTTAGAAATACACTCAATTCTATGAAGAACGGCCTATGTATTAAAGATAGGCCCCATGATTAGATGGAACTGTGGTCACCTACTCCATACCAATAAGCACAGTTGCTCTTTATACCCCACACCCAACTGTATTTTCACTATGTCAGCACTGTCCCATTGAGGTCCTGAATGAAGGCCAAGGAGCCTTACTTCTCTGACACCAGCCATAGCAAGTGTCTATATCAAGTGAACAACCTAGGAGTCCTAAAGACACAGGTGATATCACTCTGACAGGGAAAGGACAGATCCCTTTTTGCAAAGATCCTCTCAGAAGCTCAGTATTGAGGGTAAGCCTGGTGTCCTTAGGAGCATCCTATAGCATGGTTCTCCATGCAGTTCAATTCCCTACCTGTGAGTACACCAAAGCCAGGAACTTGCTGTCCTGGAACTTGCTTTGTAGACCAGGCTGGCCTTGACCTCACAGAGATCGGCCTGCCTCTGCACCACTGCCCCCCTCCAGTGCTGGGATTAAAGGCATGCACCACCACTGCCTGAAGAAGCTATGTTTTAATATCAACGTTCACATGGCCAAATGCCAAATCCCAAGGTATCACAAAACATTTTTACTCAGTTCAAAGACAGCAATATTCCAAATCAAATTTGGATATTAAGAGGTTTCTACAAATTTTCATTTGCACAGTCCTGAAGGTAAGGGAATCTACAGCACTGCTAGCGGACCCTGGTCCTTACTCAGGGCACTGACCAGTTATTAGACACCATGTGAGTAGAGCTCATGACTGGCAACCCCACAGCAAGGCCAGCACCATTCTGGGTGCAGTGCACTATCTTCAGAGCACTCAGGACCCTTTGCAGAACCATCCAGACCATCTCGGCTCAAGGCCTACTTCCCCTTGTAAGTTCAGCTCTCACTTCTGGTCTACACCCTCTGCCTGTTCCTTGATGCATTATCTCATCCTGTCTGCCTGTTTCCGTCACTGGAACTAGATGCAGCTAAGCTTCTAGACAGTTCTTCTATGCAGAGTAAACCCACATACACATCACTGCTTTGGGCCCTGGAGTGACAGCCATCCCAAAAAGTATTACTAATTTTCAGGACAGAGATTTTCTTTACTGACTTTTTTTTTCTCTTTGCAAACCCAGGGCCTCAGCATGCTATGCATTTCTTTTACCTGGAGACACACCTCCAGTCTTCCAAGGATTAGTACAGAACTCAAATTTAATAGGCTACAAATTCTTAAATCTATATGTGATAAGCCAGTCCACCAGGAGAAAACACTGTAGCAATTACTTTCAGAGGGCCATTCACATGAACCCAACCAGTCACTGTGGCTGCCTTTATAGCTCAGTTGTTCAGGACTATCGGCAGGGCTTAGAGTTATTTATGTGAAATCTGGTCTCATGTATCTCAGGCTGGCCCTGAACTCATTATGTGGCAGATTTGACACGTGCCACTATGCCCAGTTTATATAGTGCTGGTGAGGGGCCGTGGCTTTATGCATTCTAGGCTAGCACTCTGTAAGCTGAGCCATATCTTAGCCCTGTTATCACTCTTAAAGATAGCCACCATCCCATTTAATACTCAAAAAGCCATTCAGGGTGAGTTGCTATGCCTCTCATCTTACAGATGAGGAAAATAAACACAGGAGTCTACATGACTCCCCAGAGCCACAGAGCTGGATTCAGACTTCAAAGATGGGTTCTGGAGCATGCACCTAAGAAAGACACTTTACACAGTGGCAGGAATCCAAGCAAATGCCTTCAATGTGTCATAAATGCTCTCTTCTTTAGGAAGCGTGGGTTAGAAAGGGCTGTAACTACACATGTGTGTGCTGGAGAGGTATGCATGTGTAACCGTTCACATATGTGGGTACATTCCAGATACATGCAGAGGCCAGAGGAAGATGCCTCAACACCAGGCATCTTCCTCTATTGACCTTCACACTACTTTCTGAGACAGGGTCTCTCACTGAACCTGGAGCTTATCCATTTGGCTAGACTGGAGTACTTTTCCAAAAGGCTGTGCATGCACACAGCTGTGCACAGAATTTGATATCAGCTGAAACCGAAACACCATTTACCCTAAGAACTGACTCCAACAGAGACACAATGAGAAGCTTACTTTTTCTGAAGTTTACGGTTTTTTTCAGCTTGTCCTCCTAGTTTGCTGAGTCCCAAGGCATCTTGAGATGAATTTTCTGTCTCTGAAACACCAACTACAAGGAAGCACAGACCCCAGACTTAAGTGAATCAACATGGTAGAGCAAAGTTCAGGTCTGTTTTCTACAGGTAGTAGTTCACACCAAAATCTATTTCTGACCAAACAGCCCAGCAAATTACTTAAGACAAGACACCTGGTGTGTCTGAATTACTAGCCATTGCTCTTTGGGCCATATCTGTACCACCTTCCAGGGTCCTTGCTCTCTAGAGCAACATGGTGGCACATGGAGAATGGGCAGACACCCTTGTTAAGATGCTTACTGCAGGGGCTGGAGAGATGGCTCAGTGGTTAAGAGCACTGGCTGCTCTTCCAGAGGTACTAGGCACAATTCTTAGCACCCACATGGCATCTCACAACTGTCTGTAACTCCAGTTCTAGAGGATCCAACACCATCACACAGACATAAATGAAGGCAAAACACCAAGGCACATGAAATAAAAATTGGAAAAAAAAAAAAAAAAGATGCTTACTGCAAACCTACCAACCTTGTCCTGGTGACTCCTTGCCCAGTGGCCCAGGCCGGCCCTTTTCCTTCTTGCCAAACAAGCGGCCAATGGAGGACTTGATGCCCTTCTTCTTTGGGGCTTTGTGGAGGGAGTCCTGGCTACTATTACTGCTGCTAGGATTACTCACTGGACCATCCTGGGAGCCTGTGGAGCTTCAAGGAAAGAAAAATCGGAGCTGTATCATCACATGGGAGTCCATGCACAGGCACTACAACACTTTGCTGGGTTGTTTTTGAGATAGGCTCTCACTCTAGGTTAGGCTGGTCTAGAACTCATGACAACCCTGCCTCAGCCTTGAAAACATTAGGCTTATAAAGACATGAGTCACCACACCCAAGCCAGACAAGACACTACATTTTTAACAACTGCTCTTGAGAGTTCCTATGATTCACCAAGTTTCTCACAGTATGCTGGGCAATGACAAAGGCTGCCAAGGATGCTCAGAAGGAAGCCTGGTTCTGAAAGTCCAGCTTCTCTAGGACTTGTCGTTCCTCTTTCAAGAGGAGGCTGGACTCCAACTGGCTGGCAGGGGAGGTCTAGGCTCAGTCAGTGAGAGAGTTGTTTGCAGGCCAGGAGGCAGCAGCAGAAAAGAGATCAGGGATCAACTGCTGGTCAAGAACAATGCTTACTACCTGCAGAGCTGGGTTAGGGCTACTATTCAAGTGCCCTCCCAACCCTGCTCAGGACAGCACAGAAACTCCACTAATGGTCATGCAATGACTATCACAGCAACCAAACAGGCTCTTGAGTTCCTGACAGGAAGCATTAAAAACACAAACTGCCCAGCAACTTGGAGATCCAAGAAGGCAAGAGAATATGAGAAGCCAGGCTGTCAGTGAAGGGACTCTGGCTAGCTCAGGTGTGGCGAGCATGACTCTGGCAGGCCTTGCCTTTCTCTACCATTCCCTCTGCCTTGCTAAAAACCATCATATTACATTCCCAAAGCTAGCCACCAAGGTCTATTCCCGTATTTGGCCCTTCTTGCTCCTGAGGCCGACTACCAAAGTCTAGCTATCAAAGTATTAAAGTCCAGCAATCAAAATCCCTCTTTGGTTCACCTAATTAACATGCCCAATTAAAATTAAACACCTCATCCTAACATGAGGTTTCCCCTTGTACCTTTATAAACTGCCATTTTCCTGTGTACCACATCAGTTTCCTATCTAACCAGAGGCAGTTCTTTGTCCCTACTCCAGGACAAAAGCCCCTGCCCCCTTTCCCTTGTTCCTTCTTCCCCTTCTCCCGTGTCCTCTGTCTCCTGTGTTTGTCTCTTATTCCTTGCCCCCATCCATCTGGAGCAAATAAGTCTCCTTAATGCTGAGCACTCAGTCTTGGGGGTCTTGAGCTGATACTTTTTCTTTTAGTCGATGGAGTGGCACCATCTAGAACCACACAGGTGCCTGTATATGAACAAGGTGTGAGGTCCTAGAGCACCATTCTTTGCAATGTTCCCCAGACAGGGCCTTCTGCTGGAAACTACCTGAGGCAATGTCAGTTAACTTAAACTGAATAACCCGAAACTCTTTAAAATCTGTCTTCTTTTCCATATATTCTTCTATTCCATATATTCCATATATAAGAAGATAAATATTCTTAAACCCCAGACAAACACAGCTCCACACAGGGGCTGCTGTCCTCAGCCCTGCTCCTTACTTCCTCAGGTCCCTGATGTCCTCATGGCTGACTGTGTGCAGTGCGCCCTTGTGCAGCCTGTCTAAGCGCAGGGGCCTCGGGGAGGAGGGGGGAGAGGTTTCACATTTTATTGTCGTCTTGTCGTCTCGTACCTCTTCTCTGGAAGCTGGCAACTGAGGGCAAGATAGAAGCAATAACAATGAACAGTGTACTTAAAGATCTATTAGCTATTCATTCTCTGCTAGCACAAAAAGACACATTTTTTGTTTGTTTGTTTGTTTGTGGTTTTGTTCTGAAATGAGACCTTGTGAGTGCACTACCTCTGCCTCCCCAGTGCTAGGGTTACAGGTGGCTCCACTGTGCCTGGCTACAAGGCTGCATTTTAGTTCACACCATCTTGAAGACTACTGTCCAGAAAGGATCCAAACAGCATAGAGCAATGTGATTCAGAGCTCACCTCCCTGGGAAAGATATGAAGCAGGCAGGCACAGAACACTGACAACTTCTCCCTGAAGTCTAGGCACATCAGAGGCCAATGCCCAACAAGGCAGCCAAGACCTGATCCATGCTATCAACTGCGACCTCACCAACACAACAAGCCAACCAGCTCTCACTGACCAGGAACCTCGGGCCACTCTGTGGGAACACTGGGGAGGCAGAATCTTCCCTAGAAAGTAGTCAGCACATTCCTGTCTGAGGGTTGGGAACACACAGAACAGCTAGAGACCATAAGCCACACCCATGTGCATGGCTACATTTCTGGGTATTTGCACTGCAGACTATATGTGGAGACATGAATGCAGTTTAAGAATAATGCTGCACATGCCATTAAGATGGCCATACGTATAAACTAAAGGACATGGGACGGAGGGTCCACAGCAGTAAATAGCTTCACCCCATTTTGGGTTCTATGGAGACACCTGCACTGTCTTGTGTTACGATAAATCTTTCCGCCAGCTGCCCGAGTTCTGCCCATCATGTGGATGGACAAAATAAAACAGAGACATATTAGGTACAAAGCTGCTTGGCCAATGACTAGGATTCTCATCTGTTAGCTCAGTCTTAATGATCATAAATATATATATGTTCTAAGACTTATCTTATAGAGGATGCCTTCCACTGGCAGTATGGTTCTAAATCAAGTTAGATAGATTTCATGAAGTACGGCAAGCATCTACATGCACAAGACTGGCAGCTGGAATGGTACTGAGGAGCACTGGTCCCACTATAGCCCCATCCGCTCGGGGCCAGGTTGAGCTGAAGACAGCTGAGGACATTCACTAGCCAGCAGCAGATACACTCTGCATCTCCCTGTCTAAGATGATCTCAGACCAGCAGCAGGCATCATGCACCTGGACTAGGCTCTGAAGGACACATGCTCAGCATGTGGGAGGTCAAGGTTCCATTACCTCCACCCCAAAGCCACCATGGCTAGAAACTTTGGAGGAAATGTTGACATTTTAAAAATGGAATCATTACTTAAACACAAACCCAAGAAGTGAGCTCAGGAGCAATCCACATGATGGGGATGCTATCATGCTCTTAACAGAGCCTCACTCACAACAGCTCCCAAGTCCTGACAGAGATCCCGGGTGGTCCCTCTATGCTCCTTCAGGAAGGGATGGCACTAGGACCCCTACTAAATTTAAGACTCTTCAATGTTACCAAGTAGAAAAGTCACCTTAGCTTGCCAGTGATATTAAAGGTGGAGTGGGGTACACCATAGTGCAGTATCCAGCCCATGTCTGGCTCTGTAGACCAGGTCACCGTACTGGAATGGAGTGTGGTTCACATACTGTGTCCTCACTGACACTAGCCAGCGGAGCTGAACAGAACAGTGTGCGGGGTAACTGAGGACTTGTGTCACTGAGGCAAGTCCACTGTTGCCAACTTGAGTAGCACTGTTCATTTGGTTGAGTATTGAGAGGTAAGTCCTACTTTGTATTCCAGTCTGTCCTGGAACTCATGACTTTCCTGTTGTGCATGGCATAAGCACTGTTTGAGCAGAACAGGTGAGTCACTTTTTTTTTTTTTTTTTAACTTAAAAGAGAAGGCAACCAACCACAGCACCAACATGGCAACACTCATTGGCAAATTCATCAGTGGCAGGTGGGGATGGAAGCCATGACTGCTCCAGTGCAGCCAGCAAGGAAGGTTGACAGGGCAGGGCTCCTGGGCTGGAGCATGGAAGATAATAGGTAGCATGTCTAAGTCAACCACCAAAACACCTACTGCCAGCTCTTCCCAACTCTGCCCAACATGCTGCACTTGTACCAATTTCTAGGTACTGTCAGGGAATCAGGGCAGCTGGTAAAAGGCCCAGGAGCAAAGTGACCACCAGCAGCCAGGCGTTGATAGTGCATGCCTTTGATCCCAGCACTGAAAAGGCAGAGGTAGGTGGATCTCAGTGAGTTCGAAACCAGCCTGGTCTACAAGAGCTAGTTCCAGGACAGCCTCCAAAGCCACAGAAAAACCCTGTCTTGGGGGAAGAAAAGAAAAGAAAAAAAAAAAGTGACCACCAGCTCAGCTTTTGAACTAAGGCAGGCCTGAACACACACCTGTAACCCAACACCATGAGACAGAAGCTTCAGCTTCCACACTGATAAATGGAGTAACTGCGGTGACCTGTATCCCACACGGATGCATGCAAGAGTTTAAGACAATGGTTCCAGTGCTTGGGAAGCTGAGGCAAGAGGACTAGTGTGAGTTCAAGGCTGTCCTAGGCCATCCAGCAAGTTCCAGGACAGTCTGAGCTATAGAGAAAGACCTTGTCTCAAAGAAACAAAATTGTTAAGAATAAATAAAAAGACAATGCCTTGGTCACACAGTAGGCCCATGGTGGGCATGGGGATGAGTGCACTGTGCATCAGCCCCAGCCTTCCCCAGAGCGCACCCCTGCAACTCTGCCTCAGGAACTCTTGTTCTCAATTCTGAACAACAGAAAAGCATGCAATAATTAGACACAGATGCTTCTGCCCCAGTATTTCAGGGACAGGCTTCCCACATGACCATCAACATGACATGCAGGGTCAAACTAAACACTGCTGGGAAATATCAGTTACTTCTCATCACATTACAGTAGTTGTGTCACTCATGGAGATACAGAGTGTATAAGGGTCAACATGTGATTTACCTGTCTCCGGTGCTTCCTTAAGTCACTAGGCTGACAGATGCATGTGAAGAAACGAGAGAGAGAGCAGGTTTACTGTACACATTGGGGAAAAGACTCAAGGAACAGTGAGACAATTGATAAGCAGGGCCAGGACACGCACAGGTTGAACACTGAGAGGAAACAACACTGGAAATAAACATTCTCAAGACAGTTAAAAAGTATGCAGATTTCCCAGGAGGCAACACTTAGTTAAGACTGAGTTTCAACACAGGCAATGCATTAAAACCCAGCATTCCTTGTAAGAAAGGACTCTAATGACCCTCACTCGAAACCAGCCTCTCTGTTGCTAGTTGTAAACACACTGGAATTTAAGAACTCCATCAGGAGCTGTTACATTATCTATTATAAAGTCAAACCAGCCTTGAGTTAACAACCTACTGGATATTAACCTAAAATCCTTACCTAGAATTTGATTTAAAACTTTTCAAAAATAAGCTGATTGTTTAAGGCAGTAAGAGCAACTCTCCCTGCTCCTGTGAAAAGCTCCAAGAAAACCTAGTGGGGTTACAGGGAGAGCCTCTAGGCCTTACAGTGTGCACAGTATTAAATGTAAGAGTTTATCAAAGACAGCAAGTCTGTCAGCAGGTAGCTGAAAGCCGAGTGACACCAGAACCAGAAGGGGCTGTGTCTGGGCTTCCATCAGTACCACACAAGGTAGGTCACCTGGACATACAGGACACTCCCTTGTAGAATCACAGACTTTCCTCCCTGTGTCCACATGCAGGAAACACAAGTAACAGAGAATGCATTCTTAACATGAAAAAGAGCCAACAATTACATTTTTTTTTGTTTGAGAGAGGACCTCTCTACATAGCTTTGGCTGTCCTGGAACTCAATCTGTAGACCAGGCTGGCCTCGAATTCACAGAGATGTGCCTGCCTCTGCCTCCAAAATGCTGGGATTAAAGGTATGTGCCACCACCGGCCAACAACAATGCATTCCTCAAGCATACTGCAGATGTACACTTGGGTGCTTGGGGGGTGGGGCTGTCACAGCATAAGGTGTCAGATGGGCAGACAGACAGGGATCTGGGATGGGGATCAGGCAGAAGTAGACTGACAGCAGTAAGTCAGTCTTAAGCTGAGAAAAACACACAGCTATTCCTACAAAGTGTTTGGAAGGAGGATGAAGCCACAGACCATGCCATGAAAGTTAGGACCTTACCCCCTGCACTAATGACAGGTATTACACAGTGCATCAAAATACAAGAGACTATACTATTCAACAGCTCATTAAAATGATTCCACTGAATTAGTTACATGCCCACTGCCAGCGTCATGGAAACTACAAATGAAAGCAGCAGCAAAAGAGATGCAGCATGGCAGGGTAGCTAGGATATAGACTGAGTCCAAGTTTAGTATGTAGGCTCTTAGGATCAATCACATGCTAAATCCTCAACAGTCACTAGAAATTCTGAGATCCACACACTTGGGGCATAGAATTTCTGAGACAAAAGTGCTCCCAAGCTAACCAGTCAAGATGCCCATCTCTTTCAGCTCGTAATCCACAGGTCTCCTGAGTGGCCCTTGTGACTCTGAGCTTAGAGACACCCCTGCTGTGAGGGCTAAGGGACTCCTTCATACTTTTTTTTTTTTTTTTTTTTTTTTTTTTTTAATTTTTTAAAAATGGAAGCCAAGCCTGGCACAGGCTAAGCAGTGCTCATCCCACCATTGGCCTCCACCCCAGGCTCCCTGCATGTCTTCCCACATGCTACAACACCTCTCCAGTCATTTCTGTTCAAACAGGAAGCATAGCCCCTTCTGGCTTGCACCAGACCCCTGCCTAGCACCCCATAATTAAGTGTAACATGCTGGTTTGGTCATCTAAGTATTATAATTAATTTGCATTGTTGACTAAATACTAGTTAACTTAAAAAAAAAAAAAGACAGGGTTTCACTATATAGTCCTGGCTAACCCGATTCACTATGTAGACCAGGCTAGACTCAAAAGAAATCACCTGCCTCTGTCTCCACCCCTTCTGGAACCTCTTGGATGAAGATGTGACTTCCATGTGTAACCCTTCACCAGTAGGCTGAAGTAGAAAAGGCCCACTTACCAGAGTCATGACACCCAGCCTGTCCACCTCCCGGGCTGGACTGTGAGGGACCCTTCTCGGTGTGGACCGACCACTGCCTGGAGGAGAAGAGCCAGCAATCGAGGAAGCAGGGTAGGCGGGGATGGAGCTCATTGATCTAAAACGACCAAGATTATCCAAGCTTCCACTGCCCACTCTGCTCTCAATCTCCTCTGCCCGCTGCTCTGTATTCTCCTTCTCTTCTTGTATCAGCCTAAAATGCAAACAAGAGCAGTTGGTTTTATTTCATCAGGAAGCCCTATGTGTGCAAGCAGAACAAGCCAAGTCTGGCTGGGGGTAGGGGTCTTCTTATATGTGAGCCCAGAAGCTGGAGGCTACAGTGGGAGGAAGGTGCCTTCAAGACCAACGAAGGCTACACCAGGAGACCCTGTAGCTAACAGCAGAATGCTGGTGATGTTAGCACTACTGTCTCCCTCCACTAACAGCTAGAATGTTCCTGTGCTCACTCTTAACACAGACAAAGGTATGCTAAGCACTGGATGATGGAAGGAAGGAAACCCACTGCTTCTTGTCCACAGCATGATCAAATCACCACTTCAACTTACACAACAGCACCTTGCATGTCTTGTCTGGCCTTCCAGGAATAGCTCTGGGTAGCAGGGGAGTGATTTGGGCCCAGTTTCTCTATTTATGAAGGGATGGAAGAGTTTCACCTCCCCTAGTATAGTGTAGAGAGGTGGCCAGGCTGTCAGAGGTAAAGACTATCTCAGAAGCCCAAGTGCTCTGCTGTGGGGGGCTGTAACGGGGATGTTGATCCCACCTATACCATGCTTTCCCATGAAAAAGTGAACTGCAAGACTCATCTCTTGAGTTTTCAAAGTGTACAACACACTAGGCCTCATTATAACACCTTCACACCTGTACAGCATCTACTCTAGTCTCTGGTCATCTCCCTGTCCCCTTCCTTCCACCCTCACACCTTCACAATATCCACTCCAGTCTCATCTCCTTCCACTTTCTTTTTGTTGCTCTTATTTTGAAACAGGGTTCCATGTAGTCCAGGCTGGCCTTAAAATTGTTTATAGTCTAGTCTGGCTGTGAACTAACTACTCCTCCTGCTGCCTCCACCTTCCAAGAGCTGGGATGACAGATGCATGCCATTGCCTCCTGGTTCCTACTATCCTTGTGTGTCTCTCTCTCTCCCTCTCTCTCTCTCTCTCTCTTTTTTTTTTTTTTTAAAGACAGGGTTTCTCTGTGTCTTTGGAGGCTGTCCTGGAACTAACTCTTATAGACCAGGCTGGTCTCGAATTCACAGAGATCCGCCTGCCTCTGCCTCCCGAGTGCTGGGACTAAAGGTGTGCGCCACCAACGCCCGGCTTCCTTGTGTCTCTTACACACCAAATATGTACATATATATACCTGATCTCTTTATTGATGGCATCCAGCTGTTCCTGAAGCATCATGGCCAGTGTCTGCGCATCAGCTTGCCCACTGGGTGACAGCAGATCAACTGAGCTAAGCAGAGTATCTCTGTCATCTTCGCCATCAGACACATCCACATCACTCTCAAATGCCTGTGCCACATTTGCCAAGACGCTGGCTTGTTGGGCCCGTTCCCAATCCTGTTCGTTGAGGGTCTGCACCTACCAACAAGAACACTATGTCTCAGTAGATAAAAGTAACAGCAAGCACTCAAAGGGTAGGGAAGGCTGCTATTAGAAATGTGAGCAGTCTTACTGCAAACCAAGGCTTTAGGAAGATGCTCATGCACCTGAGCTGCTGCTAAACAAGAAGCACCTGACAGACAGGGTGAGCCCTGAGGAACACACCTGTAATGGAAGCACCTAGAAGGAGGATACAGAGATGGGTCTAGATTTGGGGGCCAGCTGGGGCACAGGCTGAGCCTGTCTCATGGTGAGAGAGCAAGCACACACACTGTGATAGAAATGCCTGGGACATTCCACATCTACACTCAGGTCACCCACTTTGATGGAAATTGAAAAGGAAGCCTAGGGGCACATGAAGGGATATGCTCAACTGCCATGGAATGATGCAGTGGGTGTGAGCTTCCCAAGCCTGGTACAGACAAGCACCAAAAAAAAGCCAGAGGAGGAAAGCAAAGCAGGCATGTGAACATAGCCAGTGGTCCCTGGTGCAGTTTCCAGGGGAAAGGACTATACAGAAGAGACCCCTATTGTGAACACTGCCCATAGCAGCCAGTGTTAAATCCTCCTGGTGGTTAATGAATCCCCTCCTTACCCCTCCCCTTCCAGCTGCTACACTCCCTCCCTCTCTGTGGATTGAAGGTCAGGGCTCATGCCTTCCTTTCCTCCAGAGGCACTACACCTGCTATGGCTTCCACCCAGACTTCCTACCAGTGGCACCCTCATCTCCTCAGGTAAGACAGCATCTCCATCCCTCATCTTGAAACCACAGATAAAAACCACAACATTCTGCCACCCTACTTCCTTGTCCATCAGCAAAACCTCTCCAACAACTGCCATCTGTTTCTGCCCTTCTTCCCACTCCCAAGGGCTCACTCAAAGTGGGCAGAGTACTCAAAGCGAGCAGAGCTGGTCAGCTCCCATAGGCTCAGGCTTGGCTGCTGTCCTCCCTGGATAGGCTATTCAGCTGGCCCCAGGCCCCAGCCCTCCTGGCTTATCATTCTCCTAGCCTGTAACACTGTAACTCTAGAGTCAGGTATCCATGGTACCTAACTGCCTCCTGCTTCTTATCCTTGGCATACTGCAGTGATTTGAAAATATACCCCTCTCTCCAAGTGGAAGACAATTCAATGGTCTCCATATGGGAACAAACCACAATGACTCACAGGAATGGAGGGAATATAACTGATAAAAAGGCATGTGGCTTCCCAGACCAGGTAGTGAAGGACCTGGACTTCCTCCTGGATTTCTTCAAATGTGAGCTCTGAAGAGAGCCAGCAGCATACATACCACAAGGACCCCAAAGAGTCCATGCAGGTCAGTCAGCAAGGGCTTGAAAATTCTGGCCCACACTGCCAAGCCTTCCCTATCTACAAGCACCTAAGGCCCTCAGTCATGCTGCTCCTAAATCCCAGGGCCCATGAACTGCCCGTAGCCATACCATCAGCACAGAACTTCATGGTACCCGCCACAGAGCTAGCTAGGTACAGACTACTGTACTGCTCACTGCTTGTAGCTTCAAACTACTCTTGAATTCATGGCAAGCCTGCTGCCTCAGCCTCTTTGAGTACTAGGATTACAGGTGTGTGCTGTGCCACTACACCTGGCATCATTGACATTTTTTATTTACTATTTCAAGTACATACCAATTAGCATTAACTTAAAGGATATTTTATTAAAAATTCTGTTCTTAAAGAAAGAACTAAAACCAAAAAGCAAGCATACCCTAAAAGCAAGCTCTTAGCCAGAAAAGCCAAGGAAAGGAACATGGGGGAAGAAGGAGACCGAGAGTCTGTCCAAGAGGAACAGGTGACGTTCCGCAAGCGGAGGCCTTGCCTTGGAGGGCTCGTCCCGCAGCGCTGCCAGCCGGCCCTTCTGGGGGCGCCGCAACACTGCACTGGTGCTGTAAGCATCCACATGCCCGTCTGCCACAGGGAACCTGAAGTCCGGGACGCTGCCCAAATGGGGTCGGCTGAAACATGGGAAAAGGTGGGTATCAAAAGGAAGGTAAAGTGTCAAGCTGGAAAGGTCTCTGAGGAGGGTCCCCTTGAACCTGCCCAAGAGCTCTCAGCTACCCAGTCCTGGCCAGAAAAACCACTCAACTACTACAATGGGAGGAGGCAAGGTTTGAACACCTGAGGCCCATTTGAGAGGCTCTTCCAAGTGCACACTCAGGCACTACCTGTTGCCATCACCTGCTCTGTGGCCAAGTTCAAGCTATTGGTCACAGCACTTCTGGGAGGAACTAGAAGCTAGGGCTTAATACAGCTTAACACAGATAGTCACAGAGCTTCACACCCTAGACTGAAGTATATCTCTAGAAAAGGGGACAAGACTGAGCAACCAAGGAGGATCTGACCACTGGCTGTTCCTACAGCCAAAGTGTAGAGAGGAAGCAGAGCAGCAGGAGCTCAACCTCAGCATTTAATGCTCCCCTCCTCCCAGTGCTACCCCTAAAACTTTCTGGGAAAGAAGGTACATGCCCTCACTCCAGAACTCCATCAGAAGCCAAGGGCAAAGATCTATGCACAGGAGTCCCAGATAGCTCAGGAAAACTGCACACAGGATCAGTGGGACTTGCCGACTCATCCCCTTTGGCATCACTGACCCCTCATCTTCTCCACGTTTTAAAGACATGAGATTCATGGCTTCCTTTCTAACTCTACTTCTCTCCCACTTCCCTACCTCTGATTCCTAAGGAACCTGTTGTCTCAGCATGGTTCCAGTAAGAATTCTAAGCTGAGGAGCTGAGTATAGCTCTCTGTTAATTGCAGGCAGCTCTGGGATCCGAGAGCTGTCAACCCTCGTACTCTTCATGTTGTTTTCAAGCTTACCCTCCCCAAGTCCACTCCTCATCTCTCTCCACTCAGTGGGATAAATCACAGCAATATGACTGACCTCACTGTCAAGTCCTGTGAAACTAGTCAGTAGACCCACCAGCTGCTCTGTGTCTGAATTCCTTCTACCCAGGGCAGGGACTCACCCCTGCAAACAAGCCAGCTCCTCTCTGTTCTACCCTATGTCTCAAGGCCATAGGGGAAGACAGTGGAGTTCCCAGAGCCATAATCCTCTCCTGTCACCTGAACTGCTACCCAAATATGGGCACACTTCCTCCATATTAAGCCCCCTTCAACACCTTTCCTCCCTTTCACATCTAAAACTCCCTGTTGAACAAAGTCACACATTAGCCAGCTGTGATGGCACATGCTTGAATCCGGGCACTTGGGAAAGATGAGAGGATCAAGAATTTGAGGCCTATCTGGGCTACAAAAGAAAGATGACTCAGCGGTTAAGAGCAGAAAACCTAAATTCAATCCCCAACACCCATTATCAGGTGCTCAGAACTGCCCAAAACTCTAGCTCCAGGAGATCCAGTGCCGCCTTCTGGCTTCTACGGGTACTTACTGCACTGCATTGCGCGCGCCCATGCGCACGCGTGCAAACACACACTTACTTACACATGTACACACAAAATACACACACACACACACATGATTAAAACTAAAATACATTTGTCTAAAAAGAGAGCAAGACTTTACAGTGCTGCTTACTAGCTCCCAATAGCAGGTCTGCTGTTGCCACAGTGATGGTACTTGCCTCTCTCCATCACTTTGGCCATGACTGCTCTGTCCCCATGGCCCTTTTTGTCTTTCCTAGTGCAGTGACCCACCTTGCCCTCTGGATTTGCATTAAAGGTTCCTGGTTCTGTAGGGGCACCTTTCCTGATGTGAAGTAGGCCAGATTAAGAGAGGCTGCAGGAGGCCTAGCTCACCTCAAACTGAGTGCAGAGGCATCTGCACAGGCCCTACACTGTCTCCGTGCCTGTTCCAAGAGGAAGTCTTTCCACTACCCAATAGTGTCTGTCACCAGGTGACTCCCTCAGTAACTTCTACTGAAGATCAACTCTCATAAGAAACAAACAAACAAACAAACAAACAACAACAAAAACAGAAGAGTAAGACCCAATGACAACTGCTTCTACAAGAAAAGATAAAGAAGAATGCTTTAGGGCTGTGCAATAAGTGCTATGACCCTCTCAGGAGCTAAGTCACCCTACAGCAGCAATGAAAAGTCCTTTCACGACTTAGTTCCAAAATGCAGCATTAAATCCACAAGCAACAGATTCTGAATAGCTGTCATGTGACTACTCTGTGGAGCCTGTTCTTCCACTCTCTATTCTGTCCCCTCCACTGGGCACTTCAGTCAGCATATCCAAATACCAAGGAACTTCTTCCCATTTTCTGAAGCTCCATTGTGCTGCCCACAGAGACAGCAACAAGCCCTTGGGCTCAAAACTTGCCCATTTGTAACCACCATACCCGTGATGAAGTGAAGGGCCTCTCAGTCTCATCTGGTCCAGCTCAGTCCTCAGGGCTTCAATATTCAGGACAAGCTGGTCCTAGAAAACAATAAACAGCTTCTATGAATGTTCTCTTATAATGACTGGGCACCTGTAAAATGCATTTCAATTCTGAGAACACTTCCTAAGTCCTAGAGCAAGCAGGACTCAGGCCTCCAAATCCATGGATGCCCTAATGAATGAAAAGCAGTGTTCCTGGTTACAGGAGAGAGGGAGAGAGAGAGAGGGAGGGAAGGAGGGAGGGAGAGAGGGACAGGGAGAGGGAGAGGAAGAGAGGGAGGGGGAGGGAGGGAGAGAGAGAGAGAGAGAGAGAGAGAGATATGCTGTAGTGTAAAATGCACTGACTGTCTAAGGGCCCACCCTTCCTAACCCACAGTCCACCAGGTCTTATTGTCTCCCACTCACACCCACCCAGCAGATCCCTGCTGGCCCTGCCTCTTACAAGAGGCCCATGCTAATGTTAGTCTCAAATAGACATCCCCACCCAAGGACCCAGGGTTGTGGACCATGTGCACAAAGTGTTCCGAATGCTCGCCAAGGGCTGTAAACTGTGAGGACTAAGAGAGCCACCAGGAGAGTTTCTCTCAATTCCTTTCAAACACCTGTGGTCACTGTCACTGCAATAACTCAAGTCAGCTCTTCTGGGACTTATCATTGAGCTGGAGAGTAAAGTACCTTATCATGCTGCGTCTCTTCCAGTTGCTTCTTTGCATTTTCAACTTCTCGTAGTAGAGAATTCTGAAAAAGAGACTGTCCTTCAGCACTGGTTCTTTAAAATGGTCCATGAAACATACTGACTGCACTTGCTTAAACCAGAGAGCAGTCCTGAAAGAAGGGCCTGGCCATGGGAGGCACCAAGATCAGGGTCACAGCCCAGTCAACCAACACTAACCATGAGTGAAGTCAGATGCTGGTGTGTCCGTCCCTGCATACAATCTATCTATTCACTAACCAATCTTAAAGTAGGCCTGCCACATTTGTGGTGCAAGAGCTTTTGCTGATACTGTTTATTATTTAGATTCTTACCCCCCACCCAGAGTCTTATTCTGTAGACCAGACTAGCCTGAGACTTGCAGCAATCTTCCTGCCTCAGAATCTGGGATGACAAGTATGAGATATTACACTTGACTTTCAAATTTGATTTTATAACCTCTTGCAAGTATTCTATAGTAACTTCTGGAAGGAAAGGCTTGTCCAGATCTTTTTTTAATTCTTTTTTTTTTTTTTTTTTTTTTTTTTTTTTTTTTTTAGATAGAGCTTCTCTATAGCTTTGGAAGCTGTCCTAGAACTCACTGAGAAGACCAGAATGGCCCTGAACTCACAGAGATCCGTCTGCCTCTGCCTCCCAAGTACTGGGATTAAATCCTTAAGTTTAAATCATTTAAAACTAATGACTATTGTTAATTAAATGGATTTTGTTTGCTGTTTAGTTTTATGTTTTCCTTTGGTCTGATAAAAGATCAGACTCTACAAAAAGAAAATAGAGAGCCTATCCTATATTAAAGGCATTGTTTTATACAGCATAAAGTTTTATACATTATTCCAAGCTTGTAGTGCTTAACTAATAATAAATGGGCATCAGCTGATATCTGAAAATACAACTGTATGTGTCTTGGACATTCTCTGCTAACAGGTATGTAAAGATGCATGTAAAGATGCACTACAGGCATGCACAATGCCTGTCCCTAACTAGTCAGCTGAAGAATACAGTCACAGGCATGATACGGAACCCTAAAATCTCCAACAAAATACCATCGTATATCTGAAATTTAACTTTGTCAAATGGCTCTTTACATATTTCTTTTCTAGGACCCATTACAACTAAAAACTGATAATGCCCCTGTTTATGTATACAATAAAATAAATAGTGAGATAGTTAATGAAATAGCTGATTTGAAATAAGCTGTATTTAATAGGTCAGTTGGAAATGCAGAGGAAACAAATAAAAATATGACTGGAATGTTACATTCTATTGTATTACACCTTTAAAGTACCATAATAGCAAGTATAGACTGGTGTGGTAGTTTGAATGTAATTGGCCCCCATAAGCTCATAGGGAGTGGCACTACTGGGAAATGTGGCCTTGTTGAAGGAAGTATGTCACTGTGGGGGTAGGCTTTGAGGTCTCTTTTGCTTAAGCTTCTCTCAGTGTCACAGTCCATTTGCTGTTGCCTTCTAATTAAGATGTAGTCAGCACCATGTCTGCCTTCATGCCACCATGTTCTTCACCATGACAATAATGAGTGAACCTCTGAAACTGTGAGCAAGCCACCACAATTAAATGTTTCCTTTATGAGAGTTGCTGTGGTCATTGTGTCTCATCACAACAATAGAAACCCTAAGACAACTGGGAAAAGGTTGTTGATGGGTCACCCTAATTCTCAAATTATTTAGGATTTACAGCAAAAAAATTAAGTAAACTTTCTCAAAAAGGTTACCTGATATGACAGGAACGAATGTTATGGACAGCATTACAGATACTTTAACTTCATTTCATCCTGTACATCATTTTAACAGAGTTCTTGGTCTAGTGATTATTATTATTATTATTATTATTATTATTAATTTATTTATTTTTGGTTTTTCGAGACAGGGTTTCTCTGTGGCTTTAGAGGCTGTCCTGGAACTAGCTCTTGTAGACCAGGCTGGTCTCAAACTCAGAGATCTGCCTGCCTCTGCCTTCCAAATGCTGGAATTAAAGGTGTGCCACCACCACCTGGTTATTATCCTTGTTCTTACAGTAATAACTTTATTGGCTTTAAAATGAATTTTTAGCTTATTTGCAGAAGATTCTGAAACAACACAATAGAGAAAATGCTGTATTTACTTTAAGGTTACATAATCTTCAACAAGGTTTTATAAGAAAGCAGGCTCAGCAAACCATAGGGAGCAAGCTAGTTAGCAGCACTGCTTCATGGCCTCTGCATCAGCTCCTACCTCCAGGAGTTCCCGTCCTGACTTCCTTCAATGATGAACCGTGATGTAGAAGCATAAGTCAAATGAACCCTTTCCTCCCCAAGTTGCACTGGTGATGGTGTTTCATCACAGCAATAGTAACCCTGACTAAGACATTCACTATGTAGTCCAGGCTGGTCCCTAACTCAAGATTCATGCCTCAGCTTGAGTGCAGGGATCAAGGTGTATACCCCACATACAGCTTATATACAATGGTACTAGAACAAAGCACACTATTCACACATGCATGGACTACAGCTACTTGTGTGGAGTAATGAAAACAAAATGACTTGATTAAGCTAATACTGAAAGCCAGTTTTTTTTGATTCCCACCTGGCCCTCTGTGCAAGCCACTGGCTTTCTCAGTCCTACAGGTCAAAACTGGTAATTAACACTTGTTAAAGATACTGGTTATTGTTCGATAGGGTTCAGTCTCAGGGGAATCCAAGGCCCTCTTCTGAACTTCTTGACACCAGTCATACAAGTAGTGCACAGACATACATGCAGGCAAACAGCAGTATATATAAAATAAACAAATTTAAGGGAGGACGGACACACACACAGCACTCAAATGGGGAGAAACACAGCCAGTCACTAGCTAGCAGGTGACAGAGAACAGGTAATGTCTTTCCCTGTCTTCAGGAGAACATGTCCCCAGCCATTCTCCCAGGGAGCACTGCAGCTCATCTGCCCACCTTGTCCTCCAGCGCCGCCATCCTCTCCTTCAGATGCAGCTGCAGCCTCTCATTGGACTCCGAGAGCAGCTTGTCCACAGTGTCAGACAGGCGCTTATTATGTTCCTCATTCATCTTTTCTCTCTGCCTTGCCTGAAACAGGAAGGAAAACTTCCAACTTCAGGCTCATGTCTGGTTTTTCAGAAGCACCAGGGGCAATGGTCACCAGGAGTTCCTCTCATCCACAGGGGACTTTGTGGTGCAGACTACTTCTGGGACATGAGAAACTCAGAACAATCTGGTGAGTCTGTGAACTAGAAGAGGCTACTGCTTTTGCTAAACCAAGACATATCAACGTCTCTAGCTCTAACCAGTCTCTAGCTCTCAACTGCAGATAATAGAGTTCCATGAGAGGACAGAAGAAATTTGAGGAGGATCAGTCTATTTGCATATTGGCCCAAGAATTTCTAGAGTGTGAATAAAAGCTTGGGTCTGGCTTCAAGGGAAAAGACTTAAATGTACGAAGTGAAAGCTGAGCAAGCTGATCTTTAGTCAGTAGAGATGCAGGGCATCTCTACCTACACTCAAAACTACAAATAACAACGTAGTAACTTTACAATGTAAAGTAACTAACTCAGCTGGCGGTAGTGGTGCACACCTTTAATCCCAGCACTCGGAAGGCAGAAGTAGGTGAATCTCTGCGAATTCAAGGCCAGCCTGGTCTACAAAGCAAGTTCCAGGACAGGCTCCAAAGCTACACAGGGAAACCCTGGCTCAAAAACAACAAACAAATAAACAAAACAAACAAAAAAAAAGGAAGTGCTAACTCAAGATTAGAGCTATGTCTACTGGGCATACACCCAAGCCTATGTCACTCAAGTCCCAGCACCCAGACAGGACTGAATTTACAAGGAAGAACTGCACCAGGTCTAGCAACCTTTCGTGGGGAAAGCACGGGTGGTAGAACCTCCTAAGACCCTCAGATTTGGGACCCTCAGCCCAAGAGAAAATAGCTGCTACATGAGAAGGCCTACCGGGCAGACACCTGACAGCCCTTTTCTGAAGAGTGTGCCTGTTTCTGGCCACACCTGAAAGCTCTCAAAGCCAAATAGCTGGAAGTTCAAGTGCAAATTTGATTGTCTATTAAAGGCTCAGTGACAGTGTATACAAGCCTCACAGGCTCTGTGACAATGTACCTAATCCTATGTTGCCTAAGACCTTATACAGGAGCTTAAAAATCATCATTTCCCAGAAGTCCTCCTACTGCTCTGCAGCCTTAAATTGATGGAAAACATTGGCTGCTGTGTTCCACAGTCAAGCACCCATGCTTCCTCCCTCCATAGCAGGCCTGTGGCAGATAGGGCCCAGGACTTCTTCTTGCCCTGTGCCCTGATGCCTCTGCCTGCCTCTCCCAGGACAAGCCCTATGACCCAGCTGCTCTCTAAGGCAGGTAAGCATTGGTGCTCCTCCTGCTCTGACACCATCACATCCTGAGTGACAAAATTCAGGACCTGAGGACAGGCCTGAACATGGGATCTCAGTCCCTCATGCTGAGCAGGTCCAATAACCTAAGGAGACAGGCTTTGAATTTTAGTTTCAGGTTCTAGGGAAGCATTTCTCAACTTGTAGGTCGCAACCCCTTCCACAGGGGTTGCCTAAGACCATTTTGCAGAGCAGATATTTACATTACAATTCATAACAACAGTGAAATTACAGTCATGAAGTAGCAATGAAAACAATGTTATGGTTGGGGGGGGGGGTCACCACAGCATGAGGAACTATATTAAAGGGTTGCAGCATTAGGAAGGTTGAGAACCACTACTCTAGGGAGACCTGGCAGTTTCCTTGAGGAGATAGAAAAGCAAGAAGCCTTGTGGAACTCAAGAAGCCTGACTGTGACTGAAGTACTACCCGTGACACCTCTGCTGCCATCAATGCTGAAACAATAGCCAGTATGTAACGAACACACTGGTGCAGTCCAAAAAGACAAGAGCACAGGCCCACAGGACAAGAACCAGATGAAAGGAGGAATTGTGGCAGAGAAGTCCAAGCCTGCTGTGGCCTGTGTCCCACCCCAAAACCAGGCTCAGCCCTGTCCATACCCGTTGCAGCTCCTGATTCTTCTCCTCCAGCTGTGCCTCCATCTGCCGAAGCCTCTCTTCAATGTTGCCATGTCTCTCTTCAGCCTGCCAGCAAAGGTAACAGAAGCTGATCCTCTGCTCATTTCATTTATACCAGCTATACACTACTGCAGCAGCCGCAAGCACATGCTGTGTAGACCATGTCTACCCTGGCAAAGGGACAACACTTCCTCATCTCCATCAGCACCTCCTTTGTGACTTCAATAAGGTGACTAATCCTCTCATGTTGACCTGAAGCATGGAGGGTACTAGTGACTGCCTTTCTGTGTCCCCCCGACACTGGCCTGCCTTGGACAACCCATCCACTGAGTGCCTCTGGTGGTCAGCATGGGGAGCAGGAAGCAGCAAGCACGAGCACAGGGCACAGTTCTACCTTCCTAAGTTTGGAAGTAAGCTCCAACAGTTTAGCTTCCTTAGCAGCAGAACTCCCAGAAGACAAAGGACCAGACTACAAAGCAACAGGACAGGAAGGATAGCAGGGAGAAAAGAAACCAAGACTTTAGGAGGGGGACCAGGGACGACAGAAGCAAGGTTCTGTTAGAGCTGACAAGGACTCCAGTGTCCAGACCTAGATGCAGGAATAGGGACAGGGCCCACCCTATGTTTCCCTCACCCACAGGATGCTGTTTCCATCTGTACCCCCTCCCAATCAACCAAGTCCAAGCCTGGGAAACAGGACTCATGACAGGGAAACAGCTTCTGTTTATGCTGCTGTGCCTCACAAACAGGGCACCCACCCATCACTCTCAAAGCTCCTGATTCCTGTCTACCCCACTGTGGATGGTGAGGACTCAGAACATACACCTTAACAACAGTAGAGGAAAACAAGAGAATTTCATTAAAAACATTATTTTGGCCGGGTGTTGGTGGCGCATGCCTTTAATCCCAGCACTCGGGAGGCAGAGGCAGGTGGATCTCTGTGAGTTCGAGGCCGACCTGGTCTCCAGAGGGGGTGCCAGGGTAGGCTCCAAAGCTACACAGAGAAATCCTGTGTGTGTGTGTGGGGGGGGGGGGTTGGGGGGAGAAAGAAAGAAAAAACATTATTTTAAGCACTGTGGAATGCACCTGAAGTTCCAGCTATTCTGCTAGCTGAGACAGGAGGGTCACTAGAGGCAGGACTTTAGAGCCAGCCTGGGCTAGTGAGATTCCATTTCAATGAGTAAATAAACATTTTAAAGCAATCTCAAAAGAATGAAATTACTTAAAAAGAAAAACAAATGTCATCTTCCTTTTTCTGAGAGAAGCTACAGCCTTCTTCAAGTTGGTGAGAGAAATAACTCAAGCAGCTGTGACTCTTGGACCCTGACACCAAGACAGCAGCTTTTACCTAGCAGCTTTTTAGGGACTAATGGAGAATAAGGGTCTTGAGCTACACAGAAACAGCGCTCCCGTCACACAACAGCATGGACACTCCCTAGATGCCAGCGCAATGAATGGAACATTGAGGCCTAGCCATGTGGCCCTACCAGGCCCAGACTCACCTTGGAGAGTGCAGCCACCCTCTGGGCCAGCTCAGCCTCTACCTCTGGCAGTGTCTCAGCTTTGCGAAGGGTCTGCTGCAGCTTCTGCTCTGCCAACTCCAAACGCTCTTGCAACTGGCGGTTCTTGTCCTCTGTCTAGAAACAGCACAACATCAAAAGTTTAGGCTAGTGCTTCAGACACCTGATAAAATATCTACTGGCTTCAAAGCTTTTATCTGTTCTTTAAAAACAATAAAAACAAACAAAAAACACAGAGGCAGGTGGATCTCTGTGAGTTTGAGGCCAGCCTGATCTACAGAGTTCCAGGACAGCCAGGTATACACAGAGAAACCCTGTCTCAAAAAACCAAACAAACAAACAAAAACCCCAAACCAATACAGGTTCCTATATATTAAAGTAATGTGAGTTACTTCATCAGAGTTGCTCATTCTGATAGATAAGGACTTGCTGCCCAGAGTGCTTCCTGAAAGCATAGCCCATCGCAAGCTGCTTTGGGCTGCTCTGTAAATGCTTGAATATGAAACCCACTGCAGAAAATCTACGTAAGTGTAAGTGGGTGAGTGAGACCACAGGGGCTATTATTGTCTGTGGGCACCATACACATCAGATCTCACCATAGTTTCTGAGCACTGCTTCATGGCAGCAGTTTTCACAGCTGCCTACTTTATTTTTGGTCAAGCAATACCCTTTGCCCTTTATAAAATACTTTCAAGCAGTCTGACTAGGTTTTTCTGTTTAACTCTCAATGACCTCAGACCATATCATGAGGAACAGGGTGCCTGCCAGTTCCTATAACCTTTAGTGCAATGTTCAGCATTGCCAACAAGTTCTTTACCATTACTTATTTAGTGAAAGGGCTGAGAAGAAACAATCGGCTTCCAATGAAACAGAAGAAAGGGCTGGGGAGACAGCTCAGTTGGCAGAGTACCAGCTATGCAAGCTTGAGAGCCTGAGTTCAATCCTTAGCACCCACATAAAAAAAGCACATGTTTGTAATCCCAGCACTGGGAAGGCAGATCTGCAGGAATCTTGGTACTCACTGTTCTGCCAAGTGTAAGCTCCACATTCTAAGAGACCTTATTTCAAAATCTTATAGTAGAGAGGCTATAGAAATAGCTCAGCGATTAAGAGCATTTGCTGCTCTTCCAAAGTACCCAAGTTTGATTCCCAGAACTAAACTCACTTTCACTGGTTTACAACCACCTGTAACTTCATCTTCAGAGGATCCCATTCCTTCTTGTGAACTCCACAGGCACCTGCACTCACACGGCATATACCCACACACAAGTACATATGATTAAAAATAGAAACAAGCCAGGTGTTGGTGGCGCACGCTTTTAATCCCAGCACTCAGGAGGCAGAGGCAGGTGGATCTCCGAGATTGAGGCCAGCCTAGAGCGAGTTCCAGAACAACAGCCTCCAAAGCCACAGAGAAACCCTGTCTCGAAAAAACAAACCAAAAAAAAAAAAAAAAAAAAAAGAAAGAAAGAAAGAAAGAAAGAAAGAAAGAAAGAAAGAAAGAAAGAAAGGCAGGCTTAGAAGTTTATCTTAAATTAAAAAAAAAAATGTGAAGAGCAATAGAGAAAAGGACCCCGACTTTGACCTCTGGCCTCCACATGTACCACACACCTACACGTATAAGCATATATACATGTGCATGCACATACACAAATATGCACAGGACAGATGCATGCTCACGTCAAAAAAAGAAAAGAAGGAATCAGAAGAATCAAGGGTCTATAAACTTATAAGAAGTAATTCACAAGAAAAATGATATTTGGACTTGATTTCCAACATGCACCTTTCAGGTAAAAGGTCTTCAACTTCACAACCACAAGTAACTACAGCTTGAAAGGGGTCCATAGAGCCCAGTACCTGTCGGTGCATGGAATCTTTATTTGCAATTTCATTTTCAAGTTTGTCATTGAGGTCATGCACAGACGTGGCCTCACGCTGTGCTGCGAGGTAGCGTTTCTCAAGGGTGGTGATTCTCTCCTCCATATCTTCCTTCTGGGCCATCGCCTATATTGTAGAGTTCAAAGGGAAATGGGGGTGATAAACGCAGAACTCATCAGAACACTCAGGAGACAAAAAGATTAAACACATCTCAAGCATGAAACTGCTGTTCCCCCAAGGAAAACTGTCAGTTTTTTCAAATAGAGTAAAATGAACATACTTTAAGCATATTCACCCACATGATCAGCAACTTTGCCTGGTCAATCTGCTCGTGTCACCAAATAGTATGAATTTGACTACATACTATTAATGAAACACTCCAAATGACAGTTCATGCATCCAAGAATCTGAAGGCACCTGTGGTGAAGGTGTATGTAGCCTGTGTCTGCCTATCAACACCCAGGCTCATATAGCACTGGGGGTAGAATTGCTTCATTTTCTCAAGTGAGAGCTGGAGAAACTTGCAAAGCTCAAACATGTTGACAATGAAACAAAAATCAGCAGCAAAGCTAACACTATAAAAACTCCAAACATCTCTAAAGACCAGGACCAGAACTTTTGTCATGTTCATTATCTGTCTTCCATCCCCAAATTTGGTTTTTAGCTCTTTCCCTAGTTCCTAAGTGACTGATGTCGATCTTTAATATATTTCTTGAAGAAGCAAGTCTTAAAAGAATACCACAGGGCAGTGGTGGCGCACGCCTTTGATCCCAGCACTCGGAAGGCAGAGACAGGCAGATCTCTGTGAGTTCCAGACCAGCCTGGTCTACAGAGCGAGTTCCAGGATAGACTCCAAAGTTACACAGAGAAACTCTGTCTCAAAAAGCAAAACAAATAAATAAAAAATAAAAATCAGTGGGGGAGAAGGAATGGGGGTGAGGGGAGGGAGAGGGAGAGGGGAAGTACATGTGAAACAAGCCTGTTCCCTAACTTGAATTAATAATAATAATAATAATAATAATAATAATAATAATAATAAAGATTTTAAAAAAATAAAATAAAAATCATAAAAATCATAATTTTCTGCCACATAAATAATTCCCTGTGGCCCAAGAAAAGCATAACCTAGTAGGTTCTATAATATAGGCAGTGTTTCTTTTGGTATGAATTCTTACAACAAATCACATTCATCTCCACAACTAAAGTGCCCTGGTCTCATTTGTGCTAAAAGGGTTTCATGAGGTAACAAAAGACATGTTCAGATGGGACAGAAACAGCTTATAAGACAACACCCAGCTCTCCTTTCGTTTCTAATGATTAATGAGGGCCTTATAAACAGTTATCAAGAAAAAATGGTTGTGAGGTGCATATATAAATATATATTTCCATAAAGATCCTGATGACCAGAGTGTAGCAACCTCAGTACTCAACACCACACCATCCAAAATGACAGAAGACGGCTGGACACTCCCTCTCACCATTACATAAACATAACTGACACCATGTTTGTGGGCTCCGTGGGCAAGTCAGAAGGAACGGAATTCAAGGAAAGCACACTATAGGAGCCAGCAGCCATGGAGGCATGCAATCCCCTCAAGAGGGCAGTGCAAGAGGGAAGGGCACAGGATCTACATCCTAAAGGTCCCTGTAAGTAAGAGCAAAGGACAGAGGGAACAGGAAGCCAAGTGCACCCCACACTCACTTCACGGACATCTCGCTGCAGTTTTGTATTCATCTCTTCAGACTTGATGAGGTCTTTTCTAGCTGTGTCCAAATCCTCCTCCAGCTCTGCTGCATGACTGGACAGGGAGGCCAGGCGCTCCTTCATCTGGCTCTGCTCTCTCGCCTGCCTGTCTATGACTTCCTGCAACTCCAGCACTTTGGCAAGATCCTCGTGGCTCAAGGAACTGTCAGAAGACCTCTGAAAAGCACAGTCCAGAAAAACAAGGATCCTCAGAGGAACCTTCGTGCTTCTTAGAGGACACAGACTTTGACACTGTTCCCTAACAGCCCCATGTAGCAAAACAAAACTAGAGACCCCACAGAAAAAAAAGCCAAGGACTTGCCTTGCCATTGGTGCTTGGTGTGTTTTCCTGTTCATGGTTTCCGTCAAGCATTCCATCCGTTAGTGTTTTCTTCTGATTATTCTGTTCTTTAAGAATCATTAGCTAAAACAGAAATTTTGAACACACTGGCATGAGATCTTCATGTAAGAGAAATGAACAAAAGTGGCCAGTGACTTTGGGAAACAAGTGGCTGTAACTGCTGTGCACCCAAAGACTCTGGCAGAGTTCTAGAAACCATTTGTCATCTTCAGACAGAGAGGCAGTTGGAAGAGGCTTAGGGCTAAGACTGAGTTCAGCAATCCCAGCAGATTGATCTACACTAGGAAAAAAAGTAACTTCTGGGATCTATTACTGTCACACTCTTCTAAATTAAGCAATAATAATCAAACCCCTTCAGTTCCAACCCCATGACAATACCCCAAGCTCACCTCTTTGTGGGTGGCACCCAACTCCTCCTCTAACAAGCTGCACCTCTCCAGAGCTACCCGTAGTCGTTCTCGTACCTGCAAGTGAAGGGTTGAGTGTGCACTTGGACTCCTGCTGCATGACCAACGCAACACAGCATTAGTAGACTACAACAGACTGGCTTTCTACTGCCACCAAGAACATCCAGAGGCTCTGTTTTGAGCAAGGCTGAATGAAACTTGTGAATCCCTCCCTGCTGCCTCAGTCTCCCAAGCGCAGGGACCCAGGGTGGGTGGGTAGGGGTGTGTGTGTGTGTGTGTGTGTGTGTGTGTGTGTGTGTGGCACAGATAGGTAGAAATCATGTGGCAAAACCCTGTTCCTAAATAAATCAGACCACTAAGTTACTGTTATTTGCTTTTTTGGTGGGGAGGGGAAGGTTGAGAAAGAATCTTGCTGCATAGTACTATCTATGTAATGTAGCCAAGGCTGTCCTTAAACTCTAAGCAATCTTCCTTGCCCCTCAAGTGCTATGATTACAGGCTTTAGAAATCATACTAGGCCTAACCTAAATTCCTATTAGCACATTAACAGAAAAATTTTACAACTTTTATGATATTCAAGGCAAGGACACTCATCAGCCACATAGGTCAGTGCCTTCTAATAGAAAAAAAGATTTTCACAGGAACTCCAGAAGTTATAAAACAAGTGACCACAGTGACCTCAGTGTCCATGAAGCCCTCCTGACAGGAATACAGCTGTCAGAGTGCTGACAATACCTTCTCATCCAAGGCTTTGTGGTGCTCAAATAGTGACTTCAGTGCTTTCAGCACCTCCACCTCGCTGGACACGCCTGCAGGTGACTGTGCCTGCCTCTTCACCACTGTCATCCGCAGAGAGCGCTCGTGCCTGGAGACAAGGCACTCTAGGTGCTCCAACAGCAGCTGCAACAGAGCCCAGCAGGCAATAAAGTGCTTGCTCATAGGTAAGCACTCCACTCCACACAGCAAAGGAAGATGGCTTCAACTCAGCACAAGCAGAGCAGTGCCCTAGGCTGAATTAAAACCTGCTAAGGTCCCATGGTACCTAATGGGCTGATGGCCCACTCTGCAGAATGGGAAAGGCATAAGTGACTGACCCTGGTGTTGTTCCTCTCTGCCTTCAGCTCAGCGATTTCCTCCTCCCTCTCCAGAAGCTGCTCCCTGCACACGTTAAGTTCCTTCGTGAGTGCAGCAAACTCCTAGAGGGCAACAAGCACAGAAAGACTGGATGAACTCATGAGCAAACAGAAAAAGAGGAAAAACCTCAAGAGTCTTCACTGTCCCCACCGACTAGAATTCACAGAAAGAGGTCTCTGATTCTCCAGAAAAAGGGGGAGTGACTGGCCTATGTCCAGGCTTCCCTAATAACCCAGACCCTCACTGAGCCCTGCAGCCCCCCTCCCAACACCCCCACACCCCCATCCCAGTCATGACCAGTGCAATCTAAGCCCACCTCCTCAGCAACCTCAGAAGACCAGGAACAGCTCAGCAAGTAATGACACTTTTAGTGACTGAAGACGTGACTTAGGACCACTGGAGACAGAAAAGAAAAAGACCTAGAAGACTACTGCCTGGCCTGACCTCTCTGTGGGGCACTTCATGGGTAGTCTTTTTAGGCAGAAAGTGGGCTCCAAGCCCAACCTTAAAAAATTTATTTTCCACAAGACAAACTTCTTGCAGAGAGGTGAGAAGAGCTTCCAGAGGGCTGGCCATCCTCAGTGCTGCCCCAGGGCACTCCTCACATTATTCAGGACACCAGGGACCAGTTGAGTATAAGCCCACGTGAGTGTAAGTCCACATGCTCCTGACAGTTTCTCAGCAGAGTCAATCCCTTTGAAATAATTACTCTGAAGTAATGCACCTGCTATTTCTCTGGGCTTTTTAAAGGAATGGAGAGGCATAATGGCCTACTGATACAGAACAAAACAGATATTCAAAGTATAAAGAGTGGTTGTTGGGCAATTATACTTTTAAAAGCAGGTCATGTGAGCTGGGCAGTGATGGTACATGCCTTTAATCCCAGCACTCAGGCAGAGGCAGGCAGGTTGCCTGGTCTTTATGAGTTTCAGGACAGCCAGAAAAATCCTGCCTTGGGAGGGGTGGGGGGGGTGGAGAGGTCATGTGTTCAAATCACATCTACATTAGATTTTTGCCATTCAGAGCCAACTGACTACCAGTCATCTGCTCTGGATTCATCAGGCTGGCCCAGAAATGTCTACCTGGGCCCCAAGGCCTAAGCCAAGTATAGGCTGTGAGTGAAGACAGTCAACAGTTGAAAGAGTTATCTCTAGGGGAGCAGCTAGAGGGAGACAGAGGAGATGGTTGATAGAGTATGATAATGGGGAGCTGGGGACTGGTTTGTCCCCATCACCCACCCCATCACCCCCCCCATCCCCCCCCCCCCCATGTGCCCTGTGGCTGTGGGAAGCAAGTAATCATCTTAATTCATCAATGTCTGACTCTCAGAAAAAAACTAGAGATTCTCCTGCAGGAACAGTAGCCTTGGTAACCCAGGCAGCAGGAGCTTGGCCAGGGAGACCAAGAACACCGAGACTAAGCACAGGCTCACATGACAATAGCACATGCTGCAGCCCTCAGGACTTTAAAGGAAGCCCTGAAACTGGTTCTGAAGAACACAGAGAAGGTGGGGAGGGGGACACAGTGGACACTGGTGCTGTAGGTCAAGAGGCAGGGGTTCTGGCCAAAGGATGTCTCGAGACTCTACAGAGTGGAGTAACAGGATAGAGCATGCTCTGAAGGGAGAGGAATGGACATGCCATATTTAAAATATGCAGACAGCAGTGTCAGAGAGGGGACTGTAACTCAGTTAGGGTTCCTGATGTGTTCAGGAGCAGGAGATCAGTAAAAGGACAGGAGCTAAGTCCTGGACAGCCTGAAATGTAGGAGCACCAACAAAAGATCTGGATGTCAGTGAGGTAGAAGCAAAATCAGCTAAAACACTGGTGCTGGCAGATCAAATAGGCTGACCCATCATGGCAGTGGGTGGTGACGACAGTAGTTCTGTGTCATGATAACTGAACTGAAAGAAAAGGCACAACAGTGAAGTTAGACCCAGAAGCAAATCAAGAACAAATAGCACAGAGGCTACATACAGAAGATCAGGCTTCTAGAAGATGAAACACTTACCTGCAGATGCAAGAATCTTAGGCACCGTACGATAACAAGAGGCTGAGGGGAGAGGCAAACCCAGAGCAAAACCAGAGTAAGGAAAAAAGAGAAGGTGGGTACAGATCTAGACTGGGGAGGCAGGATGCCGGAACTCATTTGGGAATAGAGATAGCTTGAGTTTGGGATGGTACAGGATGGCCCCCGGGAGGGACAATACTTCCAGCACACAGTGGCAATGAAGGCAAGAGGAGGATGGACACACAGCTGCAAAAGCATCAGGAAGGGTTCACAGGATTTCAGACTGGATAGGGAAGGACAACTGTCCGAATCTTATTGTCTGAGGTTCAAATTCAACAAATACCACATTTCATCAAGGTACAGCAAAAGGACATGGAGGCAGAACTGCACAAGGTGTGGGCCTGTTACTGCCTGGGATGAGGGAGGATCACCTGCAGATGCCCTCATTCCTTTTCAAGCTTACATCCTGTATCATCACCTGGCATTGCTCCACCTCTCAGCAACACATCTTTCCTCCCTCCCTCCCTCCCTCCCTCCTTCCCTCACTCCCTCTAGGTAGCCCAGTCTGACTTAGAACTTATGACTCTTCTACTATAGCCTCCCAAGTGTCTGGCTTGGGCCTTCATCTTTCTCAAATGTTTGCTACAGACATGCTTTAAGATCCCCAAGCTGCTTTCATTCTTCTATTTGCTTTTGATATGCCCCCTCCCTCCCTACCTCCCTCCCTCCCTCCCTGTCTTTCTCTGTCTCTGTTTCTGTCTCTCTCTCTCTCTCTCTCTCATTTCTGCTCTCTGTGTAATATTCTTGGCTGTTGTGGAACTAGTTCTGTAGATCAGGCTGAACTTCAACTCACAGAGATCCACCTGACTCTGCTTCCTGAGTGCTGGGATTAAAGGTGGTGTTGCCCACCATGTGTCCTCTTAACACAGAAGGAGTCCTCTTAACACAGAAGGAATATACTTACTTCTGTTATTCTAGTTACATATGCATGTTTACCATAAACTCAACAGTCCACATTGCTCCAGCAGTGAGATAAACAAACTCACAAAACTTGACATCATTTCACTCAAAGAAAAAGAAAACTTTTTTTTTTCTCAAAAGGATCCAACAACTAGAAATGTTATCAAAGCAAATTTAATTTAGGAATTTAGATAAACATTAGGCAGGAAATTCCAAAGTTGCAGACTCCAAAACCACATCCCTGCTGCACAAAAACCTACAAGACCCTCAGCCATGTGCAGTAGGGGTATCTACACATCACTACTACACAGGGTCCAACTCTCCACATACCTCTTTTCTCTTAAAAGAAAATTAACTTCAACAAGGTGCAGTGAAGCATTTAGGAAATAGAAGCAGGAGGATCAAGAGTTCAAGACCATCCTCAGCAATATAGTGAGTTTGCAGCCAACCTGGGCTACATGAGTTCTTGTCTTAAAACAACAACAACAACAACAACAACAACAACAATGGGGGATTAAAACCAGTATTGCTGGGCTAAGGCAATGGCTTAATTTGTAGGGTGTTTCTAAGCCCAGTGCTAGGAAGGCAGAGGCAAGAGGATCCCTGAGACTCACTGGCCAGCCAGTCTAGCATTACTGGCCAGCCCAAACCAAGAAAGAGAAGACAAGGTGGATGATGCTTTTAAGTTGTATATAGCCTTTACACAGACTTGCCTACACATACACACAAGCAAACAGAGAATGACCATGGCCTAGTTAAGAGCATTTGCTGCTCTTGCAGAAGATGCAAGTTCATTTCCCAGCATTTATATGGTAGCTCATAAAAATAAGTGATAAATCTTTTTTTAAAATACTGCAACCCAAATAGCTACTTATATTTTTAAAAGATTTATTCATTTCTGTATATAAGCATTTTGCCTGCATGTCTGTCTGTGTGCCACTAATGTGCCCAATGCCTGTGGAGGCCAGGAGAGGGCATCAGATCTCCTGGAACTGGAGTTCCAAAAGGTTGTCAGGTGCCATATAGGTGCTGGGAACTGAACCTGAGTCCTCTGTAAGAGCAGCAAGTATTCTTAACTGCTGAGCCCCAGGTTATGGTCAATGAAAAAGAACAGCAGGCACCAAGGCCATGTGCAGGTAGAAACTGTGTGTTCTTCACCACTCAAGGTGCCATGCATAGTGGTTCTGCAAACCTAAGTCTATTTACTGATACTGCCATATTTAACAGACATCATAGCCATTGAGGGTTTGGGTCATTCATTTAAAATCTAAGTATGGGAACAGGAGAGAATGCTCAGCAATTAAGAATACTTATTTGACAGCTGACAACTATCCATAATTCTATCTGACACAATCTGTTCTATGATTCACAGCCTCTTGGGACCTGCCCAGAGCCACATGGCCACAGAAGCAACAACTTGTCAATAGCTGGGCATCAATACACACTCTTCTCATTCTGTATACTCAGACCAACTACAGAAAAGTGCACTTGAACTGCTAGTACTGTGATCTCCTGTAGCCAGTGAAGGTGCCAAGAGTGACCATTTTATCTCCACATGGCATGGTATGGATTGTTTACCATTACAACTAGAAAAAAGGGCCAGCAAAATGGCTCATGTGTAAAAAACACTTGCTGCACAAGTCCACCACACCCAGAACACACTGTGGAAAGATAAAATTGACTCCTGAAAGTTGTCCTCTGACTCCCACACATGTGCCATAGGATACACATGTATATTCATTCACATACACATGTGTATATAAACATGTACAAATAACATATAAAAATCTTTTTTCTTTTTAAAGAGAAAGAGGAGAAATCTGTCCCCTTTGAGAACAGGTGAAAGCTCAATGGCATGGCAGTAGGGACTGGCCACTTGGAGGAACAACTTCCTCAGAGATGGCCTGAAAGCCCTACTTTTGTCCTCACCATCTGTGCAGCCTGGCTTCAGCCCCACTTCCTCCCCAGAAGAGTTCTGGCCAATACAGCTTCCGCTGAGGGTATGAGCCAGCTTTCATCTCCACCTGACCCAGCCTGCTGGAGAGCAAGAGCTGCCAGGAGCCCTCTAGGCACCCCAATTCTTGCTTTTGCC